ACCCTAGGATTTTAGAATGTGACCATAGGTAACAGCTGTCCTGGAATTAATCTTCCGTTTAATAATATGACTTAATTCATGCTGCCTTTATATTGTGTATAATACAAGAGAACTGAGGATCTGGGTAGTAGTGTCATGCCCAAGATTAGCTTCAAATTCTTTCAACCTCAAAAACAAGAAGATGTAGTCTTCCTAAATGTGTCTCACTTCCAAGCAACCAAGGAAGTTACATGGTCACCACTCAAAGGAAAGGAAGCCAGATTGCTTAATAGTTTGACTGCTTGGAGGAAATAATAATAATAATAATAATAATAATAATAATAATAATAATAATAATAATAATAAATAATTTATTTATACCCCGCCCATCTGGCTGGGTTTCTCCAGCCACTCTGGGCGGCTTTCAACAGAACATTAAAAACAGAGTGAAACATCAAACATTAAAACCTTCCCTAAACAGGGCTACCTTCAGATATCTTCTAAAAGTCGGATAGTTGTTTATTTCCTTGACATCTGATGGGAGGGCATTCCCCAGGGCGAGCACCACTACCGAGAAGGCCCTCTGCCTGGTTCCCTGTAACCTCACTTCTCACAATCAGGGAATCACCAGAAGACGCACGGAGCTGGACCTCAGTGTCTAGGCAGAACGATGGGGGTGGAGACACTCCTTCAGGTATACTGGGCCGAGGCAGATCCCATGCACATAAGCAACCCTTAGACTTCCTCTCATCCCTAGAGTTGGAGATCGCTGGGCAGCTGTTTGTATGATTTTCATCCACCTCTGCCAATTCAAAGGTGTGAGGAAGTCTAGGTGCTGATTACACTTGCTGTGATGAATGAAAATGTAGAAGTCTGCTTTATATCCACAGATATTCCCTGAAAAGGAAATATGGGGCTTTGTGGCACATTGGATCTGGAAGGATTCAAAAACTGAGTTTTTAGTTTGATGTTGGGAGCTGCAAAAGGCACTCCTGTGGCTTTTATGGGGAACTGATATAGAATCTTGCACGTTGTGATTAAAGTCCATATGAATTTAATTAGTGGGTCAGACTTGATATTTTGTTTAAGGGCAGACTTCCTAAGACTTGTTTGGCAGAAGAACTACAAATAAATTCTTCTTTGCAATCTGTATGTGAGCAATATCTCCCCTCCCAGACCCAGTCTGGGTAAAGGAGCAGGGATTATCCTTGACTTTATACTGAGCTTTGGAGCACAGGGACAGGACTCTACCTTAAGGGAATAGTAGGATCCAGGTGACCACAAACTTTTTTTTTTTGGCTACCAAGACCAAACAAAACTTGTTGCCCCCCACTTGTGTTATAACAGGACTTGTTTTCTCTAGAGGCAGGAATTTATAGTTTACATAAGTTTGATTGAAACAGTTCTGATAGTTCTGACTATGATTGACACACTACTATTGTAGCAGTGACGGCTGTAATATCAAACTTGTTTCATGCTACATGAATAAACCTGGAATGAGCTTTAAGTTTCTGCACTTGGTCCCTTCTTTTGTCATTACAGTATACTCTAACTGGCAAAGTATCATTTGGGCTTGCCCTGCAAATTTTGGATTATTTGCTGCACTGATCTACAGGGCAAATGTAATTCGTCATTTGCCAGTTCACATAACAAAGCAGGGATGGAGAAAGAAGATTGCATTTCATAAGAGAAGGAGGAAATTCATGGATTTGAGATTTGTCCATGAAGCATGAAGCCGTGAGATAGTGGTGCATCTGAACAGAACAAATATGTGATGTGGGTTATTATTATTATTTATTTATAGAATTTATATACCGCCCTATACCTGGGGGTCTCAGGGCGGTTCACAGGTTGTTACATCATTTAAGAAACCTAGATATATGATTGAATGTAGTCCTTTTCAGGAATTCAGTAAACATGTAAGGGAGGCAGAAACGATGGACATACTAGATCTACCTCCATTGCTGTTCGTATATGGCTATTAACATTTTTTATGCTTTAAGATAAGTGGAGAGCATACTAAATAAAAAGTCCAGTACTGAACACGTTGCAAAAAAACAGGGGTCAGCAAACATTTTCAGCAGGGGGCCGGTCCACTGTCCCTCAGACCATGTGGGGGTCCAGACTATATTTTGAAAAAAAAAAATGAATGAATTCCTATGCCCCTCAAATAACTCAGAGATGCATTTTAAATAAAAGGACACATTCTACTCATGTAAAAATAACCTGATTCCTGGACCGTCTGCGGGCCAGATTTAGATTGGGTCGGATCCAGCCCCCGGACCTTAGTTTGCCTACCCATGCATAAAAACATCTTGAACCCATTACAGTATACAGAGAAGCTGTCTTTCAGCACCACCATTTTAGTCAGTATACCCTCTTGTTTTGTATCATAAATGACTCAGTTTTCAATTGATGATGCAGCAGCTAAATACACATAGCATACTTGTTGCTATAGTAAATTCAGCTGAGAAAGTAATATTCAGAATTTAACAATATTATGGAAGTCATCTGCATTTTTAACATCCAAATCCTTAAAAGAAAAGAAAAACACCATTAAACCTTGCTCACTTCATTCTTGCTTGCTTCTGTACCTTCTGTCATAGCGGATTATGTATTGTTTTTTCCATACCCTGTCCCCCACTTTACATAAAGCCCCCTCAAGGATTAGAATCTACTACTTGTCTTGCCAACTGTGGCAAGAAAGAAATGCTTCCAGGCAACTAGGAAAAATTCACCCTGGTTAAAGGTATAAAACTGTGCATTGTGTACTCATAACCCTTTAAAAAATCCTGAGGAACTACTAATTCATTATTGTAAAGAGCACTGTGTGTTCCTTTCCAAAATGCAGAAAGCTTATTCTTTCTGCCTTTTAGACACATAGGCCAATCTGCAATTGGAAAAAGGTACACTCACTGCTCCCACTTTCATTGTGTTATTGAAGTTGAGCAAAGGCATACATATTTCCAATTTCAGCCCCATAGCTTCTTGCTGAAGGTACAAAGAAAAAGATGGCCGTATAGTGGGGAGGAGCAGCAGAGATGGGTACCTGCTTCCAGCATTTTTGCAACAGAATGCTGTTGTCTCTTCAAACCATCTGCAAGTCTCTCTGACCTCTGATCACCGTCTCCAACTGCCTCTTCTCCACCCACTCTCATGAAGGCTGCTGGGATTACTAGCTGGTTTTTCCTGGTTTCCTGCCCCCGCTTCCCCTGTGTTCACCATTTTTGCATCATTTTAAATTATTTTTTGGAGACTCATGTAAAGCTGCGAGTGTGTATGTTAAATAAGCATGAGATTCAAATTACCTGGAAGGGGAGTTAACAAATGTAGTAAATTCTGGACACCATAACAACATTTACTGAAGAACATCTAAAAATTAAGTCTCATTTGTCTGTCCATGACAAAACTGAATTGGAAATAACATACAGTACTTTGAAGGTTAGCTTTGTCTCATGAAAAAAACCTTGTGGAACTGAGTAGGAGGGAAATACCAAAACCAAATGGAGTCTGTTAGTCATTTCCCACTTTCTGACCTTGAACTCTTCAATTTGCTCTGTGTGTTCAGTTTTTCTGTCAGACACTACTTGATGTAGTTTGGTTTAGATTTACTGCTGCATTTTCAGGGCTAAGCAGTGGATGCAGATGAATTTTAGAGTGGGGATGCACTACACATGTGCCCTTCTATTGGCATTCATAGGAAATATGCTGTTTCCGCCTACTTGTTCTGCTTTCTTGCAGTTGTGTATGATTTTGACATGACCAGGAAGAAACCATGGAGAAAGAGGGGGAAGTTATTGGACAAATCCCACATTAGAAATATTTCACTAGGAAATAATAGAAATCATGGACTCATTATGTGAACACTTGCATAACAAATGATTTCCAGGGAATGCATTGTGTTCATTAAATGGGGCCTGGGTGTATCAACATTTTTTCTCAATAGGAAGGAAAGTACCTTTCGAGAAAAAATGTTGATACGCCCATGAAGCTTTAAATGGCCAGGGTATGTGAAGGAGCACCTCATCCTACATGAATCTGGCCATTCGTGGAGGGAGTAAACTATGGCTTGGCTCCAGGTACCTCTGCTGTGATGCCCACCTGTTGAAAATATTCTTCAGGCATGCTATTATTATTATGTAGGTACCAGATGTTTTGCCTTGTTTCCTGGAGGCTCTATCAGAAACTAGGGATGCACTTCTCCATTTTGATAGATATTTATTGCTGCAGTGTTAGGTGTTTATGACGGATTTTGTTCTTGTGTGTTTTGATATTTTTGTCTTGTGTTTGAAATAATGTGAAAGCACTTAAGACCAATTTGGCAGGAAGGCGTACCAGAAAATTTTAAAGTAACATTTTTTAAGCCATGAGCATTGAGAGGCTGAGGAGATTAACAGCATTTATTGTCTATAAAGGCAATTTCCCTTAAAAACTTTTTTACTCAAACCATGTTAAGATTCTTTTCTATATAGTTTTTACCACCTCCCCCTTTGTATTTTTTTGTAGCTGTACTGATCTGTTTTGTTTGTTTTGGTGAAACTGTTCTGTTAGAGCAATTTTCCATAAAATGAGCATTATCTTTTAATGGTGAAATATGGTCTCCCTGAACCCACAGCTAAGTAAGTGGTATTAATATTCTGAGTTGCTCAGAACAAATTATACTATCTTCAACAATAAGTTCAAATAAAAGCCCTATCCTAAAGTGGCAGATGTCTCATGCTAACCTAGCAGAGCTTTTAAAATGCATCTCTTACTTTGTAGGAGCGATAACAGGAAAACAGAGCTGTCTCTTTGACTCATTTGCATTTTCTGGCTGCAAAAATGAAGTGAGTTGGAACCAAGTTCTACTTTTCCACTGGGCATGCCTTTCTCCAGCAGAGTTGGGACTTGGGTGGGGCGAGACTTATTCATTAAGCTGCACAAAGAGCCTGTTAGATTTTTATAAGCTGGCTGCATAGCTTTGGTTTGATATGCATAACAAAAATTATATGCGTGTAACTTCTCTTTAATTGCTGTTGTAGACCTTAATTGCTCATCAATATGCAAAGTATGATATGCAAAAGCAAATGAGATTCAAGTTGCCTTAGACAAGCAAGTGAAAAGGGTGAGTTGATTTCAGTTTATTAGAAAATAAAAGCAAGTACATGTGTGTGTAGAAAAATATGTGGATAGTTTGATCGCAATCTGGTGTCAGTATATGAGTGGCACCAAGTACTAAATGACAATCACGTTAGTTGGTCTGTGAGTGAATATTGAAGCAAGTAGTTCAGAAAACGTGACAATAAAAAGGACTTTTAACTCTGAAATGGGATGCTCTGTACTTTAATGCTGCAAGAATAACACTAGGCAATTTTGTGGGTGTATGTAGCTGCGAACATTCAAGTAGATGGCATTGCTGTTTTGTTGTATTGGTTGAAATGCTTTTAGGGGATTGTCTGGATCTTTTCACTGCAACACTTTGGTGGCTATATTTTTTTATCCCAATACCGGTATCAAATTTCCCTTTAAACAAGGGGTATTATTTTGTACCTGTTAGACAATTTTTGTGGTGCTTTTATTCTGTAACTGTATTTAAACTCTCAGGGGTTGTAAAGCAGTGTATGTTCTTTTGCACCTCTTCCGTAGGGTTACAAAATTTATACTACTGATATTAGTAGTGGAAAATATTTGATTTGTGTTTATAAAAATGGAAAATCTCCAGTTACAGGTGCTAATAGTGAGTGCATTTGACAGAACATTGTATCTGAAAACATCTAGATTGTTCATACAGCCATTTTATCTAATACTGTATTAGTCTTGTACCGTTTGTAACAGTAGTTTGGTACCTACTTATTTTTTTTACTATACATTTCGTTGGTGTTGGTGTTGCTGCTGTTGTGACTCTCCTTAGAGCATTACTCACTAGTTGGATACTACCGTAATTCTCTGTAAAATACTGTCACCATCTGGATAGTATGTTGTTATTTATTACTTTCCAAAACTAAGGCTGCAATTCAGTGCTGAATGATTTATATCTTACCCATTGATTTCAGTAGGCTTGCGTACATCTAATTCTGCATAAGACTGAGCTGTAAAAGTACTACAGCTTAAAGAGTATTGGTTAATGTAGCATTTTTGCTTTTGAAGAATGATAGGGTTTTAGAAATGTTATTTACTGATCAAAGTCAGATAGCTAAGTTACTAAGTAGCCTATGTACTTGTTCTGTATATTTTCTGTTGGCGGAAAGAAAAGAGTACCATTGTCATGGTTACAGATTTAAATGCTAAATCAAGCATAGTGTCCTTTGACATAATTTATTAGGAATTTGAAAATTTCGGGATGACATAACTATTCAGGTGTATTACTATTATAGGTTTCCAAGAGCAATAGCAGAATGCATGATTAAAGAGTATTGTTTCCATGAGAGTAACCTGTATGAAAAATGTTAGTTTTATTCAGCTCCGGCCCTTGAGCTGATATGGCCCTCTCAAAAACTTTACAACCTGACATTTAAGCATTGATTTTTTTTGGGAGTAGGGGTACTACAGTTACCACTCACACAACTAAATAGTTGTGCTAGTGGGAGCCAGTGCAACAGGCGTTTCTCTCCTCACCTCCCCCCCCCCCCGCCCCATTTGCACTCTGAGCCCTCACCTGCAATTTGGCAAACTTCCAGAACACTGTATGGAGGGGGAGAGGGGAGGAGAGATTGTTCAGTCTGGCAAGCAAAACAGGCATTAATGCTTGTCATATTGACGCTACACTGTTGATTCCTAGGCACTCAGTTCTAATTCTTTAGTTCATATAGACTGTTATACAAAGAAGTAATGTCCGTTACACGTAAGGTTATTGTGTGCATAGCTAGACTTTCTGTTAAAGCTGTCTTTGCAGCAGCCCCCATTCCTGAAGAGACAAACCTATACTTTGGGACTGATTGCCTCTTTGGGAGAAAAATTTTACAGAACAGTAAACATCAAAGAAAGTTATGTGCTTGAGCAATGACTACTCCAAGATTGCTATAATTTGAGAACAAACCTTTTCCACTAACACCACTTTTGAAAGAATCCCACAATGGCTGATTTAGTCTCCTTAAATTATTCTTTCCTGTTTCAAAAATAGGAATCATTAGTAAAATTTGACTTGACTTGTAGCAGCTTAAATGCTGACGTAACATAATTTAATAATTAAATATTTGCTTTAAACCATCCAATTATTTTAAGATTAAGCAAATATTTTTGTTAGTGTTTTATAGAACTTGATACATTATTGAAGCGTATCCTAATAAATTAGGAAATTATTTTTATATGCTATTCCAAAATCTTATTCTGGACTCAAAAAAGGGTGTTGAATTCACTATTCAGTAATTATTATTGTAAGATATATATTGCTATATAAATTTATTATAACTGTTCAGTAGAAACCAACTATTGAAGTCTAGTTTTATGCCACCCAAACTCTCAGACATGAAAGCAAGATGGTTAATGCAAATTGGTTTATAAGTGTCTGTCTTCCAGACTTCACTGCAGTACTGATGGAATTAGAAAGTCATTCTAGTATGTCCAATTGAAAGGATGAAGTTACTTCTTTTAATTACACCTGAGAAAGTCTATGATTGATTTGATATATTTTCTAGTTCTGTGCTGTGTTGGCTGCTTGGATTTGAAAATTTTGTTGGTTACTTTGAATAATATGTCTACAGTGTAAGTTTAGTAAGCCAAAAAGTTTCAACTTCAGTGGTTGCTAAAGCATAAGACCTTGTGCTAGGAGTTAGGTAGGTCCACAAGCAGTCTAAAAAGTACGTTCTAAAAGCAAATATATGTATCTTATTTCTAGTGCATCCTGTGACCATGACGACTGAAGTTGGTTCAGACACGGAAGTAAAGGAATCGGAGAACCTGGGATCAAATACAGCAAAGGAAGATGCTGGGGATGCACCAGATAGTCAAAAAGAGCAGACATCTGAAATTAAAGAGAGTTCTCCCACTTCACAGGTGCCAGCTAGTCAAAGTAGCCCCAGTCGCTCCGGAGGAAAGGGAATTTCTCGCTTCATCCCCCCCTGGCTTAAGAAACAAAAATCATACAGCTTGGAAGAACCCAAAGATGAAACAAAGAAAAAACAGCCAGCAGCAGCAGCAGCAGAAGAAATGGGAGCAGAGGAGGGTGAATGCCATCTTCCAGAAGAGACAGCCCAGACTAAGGGAAAACTGGAGGACATTGCTGAGATTCGGCAAGAAGCTAAAGCAGATGACAGAGAGGAAAAACATTCTGTTAGTAGTGCTGAGACACAGGTATGCTCTTGAAAGGAAGAAAAATGAAACACTTTAAAGTCCATGCATGTTAATTACCTAGCTGCTTAACACTATACCCAGCACAGAACAAAGTGTTAAATGGGCTGATATATGTTTATAAGAAATATGCCTCTAGAGACCAGCCTAATATTTTTTCCAAATTCAGACATCATCTGCTGCTTTCATAAAATGCTGTTTTTATATGTTTGCATTTTGTTACAGCAGAATTCTTCAGTGTATGGGAAATGTGTGGACCTCCAGATGCTGTTCGGCTATAGCTACTGTCAACCCAGGCCAATACGACCATTGGTTAGGGATGAGGACCACTGTAGCCCAGTGAAACCTGGAGGGCCGCTATACCTACCAAAAAACAATAATCTACAAAATGTTACAATTTACATAGAAAACCTTTCCTTGTGAACAAGTTCACAAAAAAACACACTACTAGACTAGCACCTGAAGCACAGAAAGGTATTCCCCCCTCTGGCTGCTCAAACTCTAGGATTAGCTGTACACAGAATTCCAGTTTCTTCCTAGCAGCAGTTTCTTCGTTTAGAAGGGCAGTTAATGTAGGGCTTTCACAGTGAGTGATTCAGTCTTCTGGCAAGTAAACAACATTAAAGCAGCTAAGAGCAGATCTACTCTTGCTTCCAGTACAGTGTGAGAGAAACAAATGGAAAAATCTCATTTGTAAAATAAAGCAGGATGCTATTGGGAAATGCTGTACAAGGATTTGCCCTGTAGTAAATAATGTGCAGTTCATTTGTTTTAAAGACTATACTCCTGCTAGAGTAAATTGGAGGCTGTAGGTTAGTTTTGCTAGTTGTCTGGGGGCAATTTAGAGAAGAGAGGACAGACAAGAAGGTGACAGATGTTTGCTTGTCTGACATTCATATATCCATTCATTTTCTTGTCAAGAAAAAGCCCACTTACTGTGAATTCATAGAAGCTACCCCTCCATTCTGTATTCATCCATTGTTAAGCCTAACCCAAAGTGCCGATTCTAACTTCTAAGGACCCCAGTGTAAGCCCACACAGCTTACCTTTCCCCGTGTAAGCCTACAAAGACCCTAAGTTCGTCATCAAAGGTCCCTCTCTGTGTGCCCACTTCAGGAGAAGCTGGGAAGGTGGCAGTGAGCAACTTAGATTTTTTAGTGCAAGTTCCACCCAATTAGTTAAATGCTCTCCCCAGAGAAGTGTAGCTGTCACTAACACTGACATCTACAAGGAGCCAAATGAATACTTAAAAAAAAAAAAAATTCCCTGTGTTACATGGGGGAAAATGTGTCTTGGTTTATTAATTATTATTTGTGGATTATCACTTTTGCTGTGTTACTGATTTTAAATGTTGTATTTGTATGAGTTTTATTGTTGTAAGTTGCTTTAAGACTAATATAAAGCACCTACCGTATTTTTCCCTCTATAACACGCAGATTTTTTCTCCTAAAAAGGAAGGGGAAATGTCTGTGCGTGTTATAGAGCGAATGTGTGGTCCCTGGAGCCAAAAAATCAAGCAAAAGTCAAATCGCGAGTCACGGAGAAGGGAAACCTGAAAAGAGGAAGTGGCAGCTTTCCTGCATTCTGCCTCAGGGTCTTACTGCCCACCCTCCTCTGTTTCGTTGCTGTGATTGCTGAAACGGAACAAAGAGCAGGGAAAGCCCCTCCCCTCCAGGCAAGCAGAGTGTCGTTCTTTCTAATTCCTCTCTGTGCTCCGGTGCTGCTGGGGGAGAGGGAGAGAGAGGGGGAGAGGGAGAGGGGGGGAGGGAGGGAGGGGAGGGAGGGAGAGAGAGAGAGAGAGAGAGAGAGAGAGAGATATGGCTGGCTTGGGGGGGAACTTTTGCCTTTCTTTCCTCCCACCCGTTAAATCCCTCTCCAGCATTCTTAGCCAGCTGCTTCTCTGCACACCCCTCTCATGTCCCTTCTTTGTTTTTCCTTCGCTCCCCACTTAAAATGTGGTTACAAAGCATAGATCAACATGGATCCTCAGGATCTTTGCATTGGATCACCCCAAATTCACCATCAGATCACATAGCATGTCCATGGCTACAGCCTGCACCAAAAAAATCACGCACCCACTGTTGCCTGGGGCTGCAATGGTGCAAAAACGTGGTTAAAAAGCATGGATCCACATGGATCCTCAGGATCTTTGCATTGGGTCACCCCAAATTCACCATCAGATCACATAGCATGTCCATGGCTACAGCCTGCACCAAAAAAATCACGCACCCACTGTTGCCTGGGGCTGCAATGGTGCAAAAACGTGGTTAAAAAGCATGCATCCACATGGATCCTCAGGATCTTTGCATTGGGTCACGCCAAATTCACCATCAGATCACATAGCATGTCCATGGCTACAGCCTGCACCAAAAAAAGCACGCACCCACTGTTGCCTGGGGCTGCAATGGTGCAAAAATGTGGTTACAAAGCATGGATCCACAGGGATTCTCAGGATCTTTGCATTGGGTCACCCCAAATTCACCATCAGATCACATAGCATGTCCATGGCTACAGCCTGCACCCAAAAAATCACGCACCCACTGTTGCCTGGGGCTGCAATGGTGCAAAAACGTGGTTACAAAGCATGGATCCACAGGAATTCTCAGGATTTTTGCATTGGGTCACCCCAAATTCACCATCAGATCACATGTCTGTGGCCACAGCATGAAGCACAAAAATGATACATCCACTGTTTCATTCAGAATGTTTTTTCCCTTGTTTTCCTCCTCTAAAAACGATGTGCGTGTTATGGTCAGGTGCGTGTCATAGAGCGAAAAATACGGTAATTAAATTAATTTCAGTAACTGATGGGCAGGTCTTCTTCTCTGCTGATAATGATCCATGTAATGAGCAGATGTGCATAGAAGGCCTAGCCATCAACCCAAAGAGTCTCAAAAATATAAGCTGGATCTTAAGATATCAATTACTGACCTGTAGTAGGAGTAGTAGTAGTAGGAGGAGGAGAATAAGAAGAAATAATAATAATAAATAAATAAATTAAATTATATCCTGCCCATCTGGCTGGGTTTCCGCCAACAAAATATTAAAAATACATTAAAACATCATTCATTAAAAACTTCCCTAAACAGGGCTGCCTTCAGATGTCTTCTAAAAGTTGGATAGTTGTTTATTTCCTTGATATCTAATGGGAGGGCTAAGTTGCTTTCTAGTAGATTCCTTAAATGGGTATTGATTCATAAGAATATATTGGTTTTTCTTATAAATTTATGGGGTAGGTGATGATAACCCTTTATTGTAATATATCACATTTTATTACTTTGCATTGCATTAAAATTGCCTTGATGTTCATTAATATCCATTTTCAACTTTCTTGTGCAGCCTGCTAAAGAAGACAGTAAAGAAATTGTTTTTGAAGTAAAAGAAGACAAACAAGATTCAGAGGAAGGCCAAAGGGAGTCCAAAGAGGTGCAGACAGGTGAAATAAGAATTGAGAGAGTTCTTCCAAAAACTCCTAAGAGGACCAGAACTGTCCAATGTAAAGTGGTTCTTTTGGATGGGACAGAATACAGCTGTGACCTTGAGGTAGGCCAGTGAGCCTTAGACCTTTTCTGTTGAAAGAAAGCACTGAGTGCAGTATGCTTTTATTGAAATGGAAGCTAATGAACACATTTTTATGAATCTAATGTGTTCTTTATGGTATTCACATCACTATGGCTAATGGGTAGTAATGAGCCATGCCTTTAGCTTATTACAACACATCCCTAAAGTGTACTGTGAACTTTACTATAACTATCAAAACTGCAAGTGCAAATGTATTATCTTCTGTTTTAACCCTTGGTTTACAGATCATAAATAAAGTTCACTACTGAAGCTATTTTATGCATGGGTTCATGAGTCTCACAATGCACCCTCTCCACTTAGTCTGATATAGGCCCCTCTCAGTAGCAGTACAACTGCATTGTGTGGAACTGATCCAATGTCCCAAGTCCCAGGTCTTTTGTTCTGGTTCCTGAATCTTTTAACATTTTTAAAACTCTGCTTTAAGGGAAGCTGGGGACACTACCACTTGCAATGCTGGTGAGACCCAAGTCACCTGAATTTGCCCAGAGAAAATTATGGAAAATTTAAGATAGTGGATGGCTAGAGTTCCTCTGGTGCTCTACTTTGTGGTGCTCTCAGCTGTCCTCTAAGTAAAAATATAAAAATGGAAACTCTTCTTGCCTGTGCTTGGTAAGTTGGGGGCAGTGAGTGATGGGAGCCAGGAGGGGCAGCACAGTGATAGGAGGGAGGAGATGCTGGGGAAGCTTATTGGGTGACCATGGGCTAGTCCTCACACATCAAAGGGTTGTGAGCAGGACAAAAGTGATGCATGAAAAGCATGAGCTTCTGGAGGAATGTAATGAAATGTCTCTAGGAAGTTGGGCACATGAGAATACCATTTTCCTGTTAGTCATCACTATTTGGAATTCAAAAACAAGATGCAGAGTTTTGCAGAACCAGGTATCTGGAGCAGGGTTCCCTGATGGCCATTAGGCATCTGGGCTGTTTGTATGGGAGGAGACACTTCTTCAGTGACCCAAGACTTTAGTAAGGGTGGGTAATCATGGGCCACATTGAGCAATTGCTAAACTTCCTTGGGATCCATGTCAGAGTAAACGTGTGTGTGGCTGATGTTTAAGTTTTTTTGTTTTTTGTTTAAGTACAAATTTTGGAGAATTTTAGGGGGCTAATAAAAATCCTTTGCTATTACTAAATCATAGTGTAGTATCTATGGGAGCAGTCAGGAAAAAAACATTTAAAATATTAAAATGGATTGCGGGGTGGCTCAAATTTTGACACCATGGCATCACAGTGTAGGACCCATTTTGAGAGTCAAATCTTTTTAAAACACTAAAAACATTGACTCTCAAAATGGGTCCCACACATTTTGGAGGGATCTATTGGGGGGGGCAGATATTGATTATAGAGTGCCAGTTAGCTACCCCTGCTGTGCCCAGAAAACGTTAATACTAGTTTCAAAATGTTCTCAAGGTCAGTTCAACACACTGACCTTAATAGTTCAGTTTAGAAGCTACTTGTACACCTGTCACCAGATCATCTTTAGAAAATACTGGGCAGCTGGTGAACCAACTAAAGTTGGTAGAAGTACTCTTGATCATAGGTGCCATCTGGTGATCAAATAACAGAGCCAGGGTCAGCCTGATTTTTACATTTTTCCTAATTCAGGACATATGCCAAGGTGGCTCTCATCTGCTAGGGAATGGCAGTTTTGGGCCAGTTTTTTCACTGACTTGAGTGGATCATATCTTTTCATTTTTTCTCTAGATATGTTTTTTGCCAGTATTGTACCTACTAGAGAGAGATGGGACCAGCTTGCTGCAAATACAACTGAGAAGTCTTAATGTTAAGAAGTAAATAGACTGCTACGTTTTCCCCTTGTAGCTGTTCCTCTTCAAAATTATCCTCCAATAGCATTGTACTTGAAGAAAAAGTAGCGTTATCTGTAATAGTGGGAAATTCATTCACACCCAATATTGATTTGCACTGACTAGTTGATGCTAACCATTGTTAACCACGGTGCTGATGCAACACTTATATTACACATAAGACTGGTGGGAAGATCATAGGAGGAATGGGGAAACTGGGAGATGAAGGGATTGTGTAGCTCTAAGCTGGTTCCCAAGCCCTTAACTGTGGCTAAGAGATTAGAAGTGATGTACTCTGGATTAAAACAGCTGTAATTCCTCCCTGTCCTTTTTTTTATTACATAGATTTTAAATGGTTTAGTTATGATTTTTTTTAGAACAGGGCATACTGTAACTATACTGCTTAAAATTTTGCAAAAATAGAGTGGCTGAATTTGGAGTGTGTGATGGTTGAATACTAGGTGGACTAGCACTGTTCTCTGCCAGAGATCAGGGACATTATTGTCAATATATACCCTTTTGCAGTCAGAAAAGCTTTTAGTGTTTCTAGGTTGAGCCAGTACTCATCAATGAATGGTTGGTGTGTGGAAAAAAAGGCCTGAGGAGGTGGGTTTATGAATGAATGGAAGAAAATAATACTCTGTATTACGCAACATTTTTTTCTGTGCAGCTTTGTAGATAGATAAATTATTCTGATTACTATAATATACACTGTTCTCAAACATAGTATAGTTCTTCAAGTTATGGTTCTTTGGGGTTCTGAATATACATGCATAGAATTGTGCTGTTTGGGTGTCAAAACGTATACTTTATAATAAGCACTGAGGAGAAGTTTGAAACCCAAGGTCTGAAGTAAAGCTGTGTATTAGCAGTTGAGTTGTTGCTTACAAAGAATAGAATTCATGTTGGATGCCTTTATATGCCCCAACTGCAACAAAACATGTTACTCCACAGCCACACTAGGTGCTGCAACCTTCCAGCAGTTTGACCTCAACCCCAAAGGCCCATTCCTCCATTGTCTCCTGAATCGGACAAATGCCAACCTCATGTTGGCTGAGGAAATTTTATGGTGTCAAAGAATTAGTAGCACATCCCAATTACCTTTCTGTCTAAAGGTAAGATGTCTTTAGATTCAGACACAACTACTAGCTGCATGGCGCTGTGGTCTAAACCTCTGAGCTTCTTGGGCTTGCTGATCAGAGCAGTTTGTATCCACGCCATGGGGTGAGCTCCCATTGCTCTTTCCCGGCTTCTGCTAACCTAGCAGTTTGAAAGCATATCAGTGCAAGTAGATAAATAGGTACCGCTGTGGCGGGAAGGTAAACAGCGTTTCTGTGCGCTCTGGTTTCTGTCATGGTGTTCCATTGCGCCAGAAGCAGTTTAGTCATGTTGGCCACATGACCCAGATAGCTGTCTGCGGGCAAACGCCGGCTCCCTTGGCCTGAAGTGAGATGGGTGCTGATTTACTGGGCTTCTGATGTCACTGTGACAATTGGAGGAAATTAATTGTTCAAGGTCCTAGTGCTGCTGTATTTACACCGTGTGCTGATTTAATTTTTTTGATTATTTTAATATTTTATCATGTTTAAATTGCTTTTGTGGTTGGTGTCTTAATTGGTATTTTGTAAATAGCCATGGGATCCTGCATGAAGGGTGGTTTAAAAGTTGAACAAACTAAGAAATATGGACTGTTTTATCTTATGGAGACTGGACTTGCTGGATGGATACATATCATGAGGCTTGTGCTAGATATGCTACTATGTGCTGCCAAATATGTTAAGTGACCTATCTTGTTTGTCTTCAACAGTAGCTGTTACATTGAGAGTGTACAATGTTACACACTGTATTCATTAAACAAAGCAATGGAGTCAAAAGTAATCTTACCTCAAATTTGCCAGAGGCTGTGTTTATATAAAATAGCTACTATGAGAACAGAATTTGATGTGCTGTGTATTATGACAGGACTTTGCTTGCAAAAATAACTGTTTCCCATGAAAATTAACAGGAGAAATAGCAGTAGTAGAAAGTAGTTTGATGCAATCATATAAATTATTAAACAGTTGTAACTATGTTAATGTAGCTTGATTGCAGTATGCACATGCACACAATCTTATTTTAGAATTTGTTTTAAGACTCTAAATGTTCTACTTAAAATATCGATGTTTTGAAGCTGGCTTCCTAAATCCTGTTTGGCATTGTTCTGTTTGCATAGAACGGTCAAAAGTTTATCCATTTATGAACAGAAACATTTTACTAATTTATGTAGATCAAAGGCGGATTGGGACCTACTGGTAGATCTCTCAATGATTTGCAGTAGGCTCATAGATTTTGCTGTTTGACAAAAGCAACAGCTAAAATAGCTTCATTTCAAAACCAGTTTCTATTGGCCATAGTGCCAGTGGTGCCAAAGTTTGATTTTATTTTATTTATTTATTTATTTATTTATTTATTTATTTATTTATTTGCATGCAGGTATTTGAACTTCGCATAGTGAAGTGCATCACGTAGTTATGTGGAGTTTTAAGTCTGACCTACTGCTGTTATATAATGCCTTAAAATGCCTTTAGAATTTGATACTGAGGATACCTTCTGTGAATGCTGAAAAGTGTAAGAGGGGTAATTTATGGTCACTGAACAGCTATCTAACAAAACATGTCTTTTCTCAACCAAATTCTGTAACTGAAAGCAAAGAAATAATTCATCTTGGTAGCATTTTTTTATGTTTTCCATCTTGTGTAGCGTTGCCATCTACCAAGTTTTACTGGGTTTGAGGTGAATACTATCTTTCTCTTCTTCCTCATGCCAGGGGAACCTTAAAGTACTCTCCTGCTGGTCCCCTGAGAGCTATAAGAGGATGGTGCATTAGAAATGGGCAAGGATCTCATTACTGATAAGGGATTGCACAGGTGTGCTTTCTCAGCCTTGCCTTAACTTATTGTGCTGTGCCTAATGAGCCCTCTATCCACAGCTTTTTCCCACCCCCAACCCCTGAAAGCTGTATTCCCACCAGTCTCATGGAAGGGGGAGTAAATACCATGTTAAGAGAATGAAAAAGAGTTTCACTGCTCACATTTGGATTTCAGTGGAATACTAGGCATAGACTCTCCAAATGAGTAACAATATTTTGTTGAACTACACCCATATAAAGTACACATTCTACTGCTTTAATTAAAATGTCTAAGTATATGTTTCAGTTGATGTAGTTCTGGTGTAGAAAAAGAGAGAAGCTGTATTGTGAATAATTTTAACAGCTTTAATTGTTGTTTGAATACTTATCTTGTCTAAATAATGCAAATGATATAAAAAGCTGGCTTAGTACTTCCTCTTCATACAGCACAAATGAGAATTACATTGGAGGCTTTCTACACAGGGTGCTGTTCTAATTAAACTTTTATGACAAAAGGCATTTAAAAGATGACTGCATGACCATATTTTATGCACGTCTGAACAACTGAAGCATATTGAAGCTGACATAAGTTTTTAATGGTTTTGTACAGTTTGCTTAGATGAAATAGATGTGTGCACTTGCTACCATAGGAGGAATTAAACTTTCAAATACCGCATGACCTATGATTTATTAGTGAACTCGTGATATTTCTAAAATGTAGGAAAGTGTGTTTTGAACCATGAACAATATTTACTTAAATCAGTTGTTGTAACAAAAGCTGTGCATATTGTCCATCTTGTCTATCTGTTTCAAAGAAACACTCCAAAATTATATTAATGACAAAGATTAATGCTATGGGGGTGGGGGACAGCCTGCAGCAGTGCCAGGGTGTGGTCAGAAGGCATGTGAAGTCTTCCTAAGCAGGTCTGGTCAGTGCCTAGATGAATGACAGTCTGTGTTCCATGTATATGCTGCCTTGGGTTTCATAATAGAAGAAAGATGAGATATAAATGTAAATAATTAAACCACCACTTTGCTACATCCTGCTGGACTTTTGCTTGCTAGGCTGGAATGTGGTGGGATGCATTCCCCCTCTTCGTTGTTTACTTTGCCCCCTCCCATTTGCTTAAAGGGAGGGAAGAGAACTATACCAGCTCCCAGAAAAGCATAAGTTCTTCCCCATGTTGGGGAAATCAAAAGGCACTGGATCCTGCAAATGTTATGCTGACCCTAGTCCACCCTTGCAATAACCCTAAGACTTCCCATTTATTTTTCCACCACTGTCAGAGCACTAACAATGGCACTTTCCACCACCACACTGAGGAAGCATCTTGTGGTGGACCTCATAGGAATCTGATTTACACTGAGCCAGACCACTGGCCCATCTAGCTCATCTAGCCGGGGTGGCCAACTCCCAAGAGACTGCGATCTACTCACAGAGTTAAAAGCTGGCAGTGATCTACCTCCTTTTGGGGGTTCAGGTCAAAGTTATTGAGCTTTTTTAAGGAAGGAAAGTCCTGTTTTGGGGGGTGCAGGAAGCTTCTTTTAGGGGAACCAAAGTTGTTGAGCTTCTTGGGGGGGGAGCCAGTGATCTACCACAGATGCCCAGTGATCTACTGGTAGATCATGATCTACCCGTTGGACGTGCCTGGTCTACACTAACCGGTAGCAGTTGGCCAAGATTTCAGGCCTCCCTCTCAACTGGCAGGAAGGGAAGTCTGCAACATCAATCGCTACTTGGGAGTTAGTCTGAACAGAGTGGGATTTAGTTTTGAGTAAATATTTTTATTTCATTAGTTTTATAATAAAATAAAATCACAGCCTAAAAGCTTCCCCAGACCCCTCCACTATACCAAGAGTCTACAAGAGTCCCTAAATATTAATAGGATTGGACAGGAATGTTTTATTAGACATCACTGTGCAAACTAGTAAACAATCAGATCTGATCAGTAAAGTCTTGCTTATTCATAATCTGAGCACTGAAGATAGAGGTTCATTCATGGACGTCACATCATGGATGAACCTGATAGAATGCTCAATAACATCTGGGTTTTTACTCCTTTTGAGAATTTACTACTCCTTAAGCCCAGTAGTAAAGTAAATTATATAAAATGGAAAATTGTTTGTATTTTATTTCAATTTCATTTTAAATCAGGCTTTTTGTGAAAGGAGCTTATTATGATTTCATTTTTTAATTTTTTGGTTAAAAGTTTTTTAAAGTTGTTTTTTAAGCTACCCTTGGGCAGGAGGCAGTTAGTAAAGGCCTCCCATAATATCAGCCACAAGTTAGGAAATGTGTGTGTGTGTGTGTGTGTGTTGTACCTGAATATATATTTCCCCATAATCTTGCTTATTCTCTGATGTATTTGTTGATATACGTTAACTACATATTGTTCCTTGTGTTTCAGCGGATGAGATGCTGCATTGAAAGATCTCGCTAAAACTGTAAATACTGGGATCTAAATTGAGCAGTTCAGTCCTGTATGAATGTGCTTTGATTCCTTTTGAAACAAACAAACAATGTATTTATTGTGCTTGGTAGTTGCACTGCATACCTTTTCCCCTTGTCCTTTGTATTTGTACAGTATAGCTCACAACTACTGTGTAGTGCATAGCTCACAGAGCATAGCAGGCTTGTTCAGTTTTGAGCTTTCTATCTCTGGCTGCTAGGCACAATAACTTCAGTGTCGCAAGAGCCTACACATAGGCAGTTGATGGAGTTCCTTTGGAATTGCAGTGGCGTCTAGTGAAATCTGCAGGATAAGCAATTGCAAAAATGCCTTTCAACTGCCAGGTCTCAAAAATGTCATATTATGGCTGCTTTACCAAATGCCATAAATAGCAGAGTAAGGACGTGGGACTTGCTTGAAGTATAAGGCAGCATGCTGATCCTCTTCAATTGTGCCAAAGAGAAATTGCAGTTTCTCAAAGAATTTCCAAATATCAGTGTGATGAGCCTCAGGGGCTTTTGGGTCCTTTGCTAACACCTTGCAATTTAAGTGAGCCCCAGTCTCTACCGCCAGGCAGTGACTCCTGAGGAGACCATGTGTGGGCATTTACCTTGAGGCTCCACCTGTGCTAGAAGGAACAGAATGGAGCACTAATTCATCTGCATGATGGGAGAGGAGTACAGCAGAATGGCCTCAGCTGAACCAAGTGTAGTCAGTGGCAGATTGATAGGTCTGCACAGTATGCACAGAATTACGGCCCCATGTGATAGAGCCCCCCCCCAATTATTAGCATATATTGTTATCTGAGAAGATCCTTTTGAAACGTGACTACAAACAATGGATTGCCATTGCTGATGTTGATGATGATGATGTTGATGATGGTGATTAGCTGTTGCTGTTTCTGCTTTTCATTCCTCCTACTTCCTGATTAAAGTCAGCGCAGGGTGGTCCTAGACCATCCAGTGCTTATCCCTACCAAGTAAAATGCAAAAATTTCCTTAAAAATCTCAAAGCCATACATCCTTCCACAATCCATTTGAGACACTTGGGGAGACTGATCTGTCAATCTTCCATTCTCTGGCCAGCTCTCTGCACCATACAGCCAATCTCAGTCCAAAAGTATTGCTATGGCCAGGAGGTCCTACCCATCTGTCTCCATACCGAAAAACATTGTGATAGTAAATTTGTATGTTAATGGAACTTCCAGCACTTTTAGCCCTGGTTGTACAGTTTCCCCCTCTTTTATGTTGGCAATCCAGCCACATTTGCAGGTCTGCTGTTCTGAATGACCCAGAAGCCAGTACATCTGTTCTGAGCATGCTCAGAGCTGTTTGCTTTAAGGCCACACCTACGCAGAAGCAAAGCTTAGGGCCCAAAGTCCCTGATCAGCTTTGTTGTTTAATTCTAACCCCCTCCCCCACCCACTATTTATGTGAGTGAGCTACACTGGACACATTGTGAGTCTCTTGTTTGTAAAAAAAAAAAAGGGGTGATGTTTCTTTATTTTACTTATACTAGTTTTTAAATTGATGGGGAAGATAGGGATGGCAAAAAAATGGGGAGCACATTTCCTGTAACAGTTCACCCTCATTAAAAGCTGATAGGATTAAGAAAATAACATAATTATGCTAAGGGTTGAGGGAAGGGGAGCAGAAAGAAGGAAAAGAAGAAAAAAGGCATTATTTCTTTCATTTTCTTTCTTGACATGCTGGACCATGTATTTCCTTTGGGCCAGAAATGGTTGTTGTGTGCCTTGCAACTTCTTTTGTAAACCTGGAGTGGAACTGCCCTAGGTTCTGGTGAAGTGGAATGCATAAAACACTCTTTGGACCTTAACATTACTATGTATTGGTGCTGGAGTCACTTGTCCCTAATCCCTGGGCCTGGCATTTTGGTAAAAGACTAACAGTGATTCCAAGTATTATGTGGCTGACTAGCAAAGACTGGTTGCATTCAGTGCTAGTCCTACTCAGGGTAGACCCACTAAAATTAATGGAATGAAATTTGTCATGTTAATTCATTTCAATGGGTCTCCTCTGAGTAGGACTAGTAATGGACACAACCCAATGAATTTATATTCCAGATTGACATTTCTGTTGTGGAACCATCTTACTAAATTCAAACAGATTCCTCTTTCAAAACCTATATGTTCTTGAATTAAAGGAAGCAAATCTTAAATTACATTGCTTACTCTTTGATATTTTTGTGTGACACAATGCTATTATTGGAAGACTTCAAGCTTACTATTAGGAATTGTATGTAGCTTTTTGTTCTGTTATTTCAATTACTTAAATACCTGGGGGACCCCATCTCTTAACAGGGGTTTCCTATTTACCAATTGCAGGTTTCAAGTACAGCTGTTGAGTTCTTTCTTCTAATAAATAAAGGAAAATAAGGAGGAACTAATATTGAACATTTTTTCTTTGTTAGTATGTTGAAGTGAGACGCCTTAAAAAGTTTTAACATTTTCATAGTTTGAAATAAATGTTTTAATAGTCTATCCTCTTACTTGACAGTAGTGTTCTTTCTCCTTAGAAAAAGGCTAAAGGCCATGTGCTATTTGATAAGGTGTGTGGACAGCTTAACTTATTGGAAAAGGACTACTTTGGTTTACTGTTTCAAGACCACGCTGATCAGAAGGCAAGTACTAAATTTTGCATTAATAACATTTGTTTAATGTTTTCAATCTTTTCCATCCTACTTCAGAGCCTCAAACTTCAGAGAGCTCTTATGACTAGCATGTTTGGTCCTAGTTGGTGGTAAACTTTTAACAAGTAACATATTTCAAATTGAGGAAGAATATCAGTGCCAGTAGCATTGGCTCCATTCCCTAGGTTCATTCAGATAATTCTCCTGAAGGATTTGAAATGAGCAGTGGGGAACCTCAGATTCATGTGCAGTCATTCTCTTCTTCATTGTCCTTCCATGTGAGGGGAAGAAGATTAGAAGCTACTTAGCAGCAAATCTCCCCTTGAATGTGAAGGAGGCAGAAAGGTATGAGGGAACACTCATGCCTGAGGCTTGCTGTCATGGTTAGGGTTATTCTCTATGGCCAATCTCACTGTCATGAAATTCAGCACACAAGCCATGCTCACTCTTGTCCTTCCTGCTCTTCTGTTCCTAGTGGACAAATATGCATGTAAAACAATTTTCTCAACAATGCCTAAAAGTTACAAAACCTAGGAAAAATTACAGCAATGCCAGGTAAAACATCAACAGCAAGGAGATGGCTCCATCATGATAACCCAAAAATACAACACCCGTTGGTGTTTTCCCCATGGTAGCCTACAACACTGCAGCAAGGCTTGATTTAAAGCTGTGAGGACTTCTCTTGCATTTGGCATTTCAGCTCAAACATTCATCACCCCGCTTTATTGTTTTCCTATTTACTAAGGAGAGAAACAGAGCAATAATTTTTGCATTGGGGACTGATAAGGATCATCTGTTGACAAGACCCTTCTGAGGAGGGTCTGCATTTACATGAAAGAGATAGGAAAGAGCAAAGCCATACCAAGCTCATGGAATATGACATCAAATCAAGAAGAATTCTGCTAACCAGGGTGTTGGCATGAGAACTCCAGGATATTTTATGTAGCTGTTTATCAGCAGGTAGGCTCTGAGGCAAAATGTCAATAATTGAACTGTAATTTTGACATTCTGCTCAAGACATTCTACAACAGTTTTAAAAAAGCTATTTTATCTTTCTCGTCTGGACCAGATGAGAAAATGTTGTCAAAATTTAGAAATTATCTGCACCAAAGAAAATGATAAATATATAAAATGACAGCTTGTAATGATGACACAAGTGGACACAGAAATCATATTTGTTTATATTGTTTCTCCTTACCTTGCCATGTTGTTTTTTGAATTTTATAATAAGGAATACACATAACTGAAGCCTCTCACAGATTTTATCAACTGAGTTTTGCTACTATTACCTCTGCCGTCCCTCAAATTTAAAAAGCTTAAGATGGAATAGTTCTCATCTTGGCGCCCACGTAACCTAATTCATTTTTTCCTACTGTGGCCATTGCCTCCTCAGATTAAAATGCCACAAAAATCTCTGACCTACAGCCCAGTAAATGCTAAATGCTGAATGATGTGTGTTTTCTTATTCTTGTACACTCATCATAGCCACCCATTTATGAGCCAGCTGTTGCACTAGACTGCAGCTGCAGAATGTAGAAACTGAATGCCAGGCTCTTTCTTCTCAGCAGAGAATTAGATGTGGTCCCTAATGAAGCTCCAAGGTACTTTGGAAAGGAGATCTAGGTAGTTAACTGTGGCATAAGTCTACACAATTTTTGGCAACTTAATGATATTTACAGACAGCACAAAAATATTTTGTTGAAAAGTTTATACTATCATAAATGCACAAGTGATTTATTTGCACCATTCTACTCTGATTGCATTATAAATTGTGGCAAGTAGTGCTTCTCTGATTCTGGCATTAAAGCGTCTAAATATTTGTGGGGAAGCACCTTACATATCCTTGTAGACAGTTTAGTGCTCTCTGTTTTGAAACATCAGACCATAGATTTTGTGAACAAAATCACACTGAGGATAAGATGTAGAATATGTTCAGCTTTCTGATTAGTTTACTTCTTTCTTTCTTTCTTTCTTTCTTTCTTTCTTTCTTTCTTTCTTTCTATCATTTACAACTGCTGTATAATGAAGAGACAGTCTGTCTCTTGTGTGGAATAAGACAAAGGTATTTTGCATATCCAGTAGCCTTTTCTTGAGTGATAGGCAAATATATAGTGAGAGATATTGCAATCCATGCTGATCTTCGCCTTCTTTAAATGCAGGTGAATTAGATAGTTGGCCTGGGATAGTTTTTCAAAAGAATTTATTATATTATTGTTATTATTATTATCATCTATTTTTACTAAAGTTGTCATCTTCCTGTAAGGTGCAAATATATGCAAAGAGAAGGAAGAAAATCACTATAGCTTGATATCTGAAGTAGACTTTCTGTCAAAGAAACTGCAGGCTGATTTTGAAAGAATAGCAATAACATACAGTTTCACAGAGCTGTATATAAAATGTGTCTTTAAGTATCCCGTGCTTTTCTTCCAACTGCATCAATCTTGTGCAATTGCTTATTATTCCTTTTTTCTTTTCTTTTTTAGAATTGGCTTGATCCTTCAAAGGAAATAAAGAGGCAAATTCGCAGTAAGTATTAAGCAGGTTTTAAAATTATTTCACAACTGAGTAGTACATTTCTGTTGGTTCCTGGGTTTCATTAGTTAGTCTTTCAGAAACTAATTGCAATGCATTTGTCTGCATCAGACTGAAGCCCAAGAAGGTTGGAGACCTGTCAACTGCAAGGCAGCACTATCTCTTTAGTGTCTAAGACTATGTATTTCCACTTCAGAAATTTTCTCACACACTGCTGTTTTTAAGAGTAACCTTTGCCACCAAGCAGTGTGCAACTTTTATTCATTTTAAGCACCACCATCCCATTTTTCTGCTGGAAAGGCTTCCCAAAATGCACTTAGATTTCTGCCCTCACAAAACTTGCAATTTAAAATACCCAACACAAAAAGTAAAAGGATAGGATGGGAGGAGGAAAATGACAAACCTGGACAGTAGTTTCAAAGTTTCTAAGTTATTATAACAACCAGCTGGGATGGAAACAGTTCAGAGAGATGGGAAACCAAAGACAGCTAGTTTTTTGAGCATAGCAGATCGAGTAGCCTTGCTTCCCTTCTTTGGCATATGCTTGTTCTTTTTGTTTGACCTTAGTATCAGTAGCAAGAGATTTTGAACAGTGTCAGGTATGGTAAAACACATCTCTTTGTACATTTGTATGGCCAAACAGTATATAATCATTACAGGAAGGATCATTACAGGAAGGTTTTCATGGCCCTGAAAGGGCATGTTATTGTATAACACTCTTGATAGATAGGTAATCCTCTTCTCTATACTCTATTAGATGCTCCTCTCTCTCTCTCTCTCTCTCTCTTTCTTTCTTTCTACCCTACACATGGTTAAGGGTCTTGGTGAGTTAGCTTAAATAGAAGCTGGAAAAGAGTTCTACCAAGTACTTCCTCATTGTGCTCATAGGGTGTCACCTTTTCATTTGTACAGAGAAAAACAGGGAAGTGGGGTGGGGAGGAGGATCAGTGGATGAGAGACAATGAAGTATTTCTGATGAGACATGCTCACTAAAATTGGGAAGTAGCTTCTTAGTAATTTGATACATGAGGAAATTCTCAGGCTACATTCTAAGTTTTGTGAAGTCCTTTGCTTCAGTATGGTACCACAAATATCAGTACCATACAATTTTATGATTCTATGATTTTTATTCAGTAGCATTATGTTAGCTTCTGAAAATGTATTGGTGGCTTGTGTTCATGATAGCCAGAATATTTCTTCAAAGAACAGTAACGTTTGAGTCTGAAGTGCAACATTGCAGAGATTTGCACTTTACACTAAACAATTATTCATTTGGCATGCAACCTACAGTCGTGAAAGGTCAGATTTGCAGCCTATACATACACAGATTCATGAATAGAATGAAGAATGCCTATAAAGGTTACTGTGCAGCCTACAATGCTGGATTCCAGATCATAACTAAAACTAAACTTATTTTTGCAGTCATACAAGAAATCTAGTTGATTATTTTCTACCTACTTGACAATGGTACACTTTGCAAGAGCTCATCAAATGTTTCAGCTATTTGTACGTTCAGGGTTACATACACATTATCTCTCTTTTACAAGAAATCTGAAATTTACTTGGAGCTAACATGCCTGGGATTGCACTGCAATTTAGGATTAAATGAAGAAACAGTCAACCTTATTTATGGTTTCAATTGATAATTAAAAAAAAACAAAAGTAGGACTAACAGTTTCAATTTTAAAATGTAGACAGTAAACTTAATTAAATAACACTAATTATAATGGTAAGGTTCTATGTACGTTGATTAAATCTCATATTTCTTAAAATAGATGCATGTAACTTATAAACATGTTTTGCATTTCTTTTTCTTTTTAAATCAGGCTTCTATGTCAGCATAATAGCCAAATTCTATAGTTGTACAAATTTGCATATACTTGTTGTGTATATATTCTTGTTTATCATGAAAGGGGCAGAAAGTGTCAGGCCACTAGCCAATGGGAATATTACTTGGCCGCACCACCCTTGGCTTCTGATATTTTATTAATTTCATTGTCAACACAAGCTAAAGACAATATTCACAGCTAGGGGACTAGAAGTAAGCTTTATAAAAAAGGAGATGAAGAGAATGTGCTGAGATTTCCCAGGACGCTGAGTTCTGTTCCTAATATCAACTGCCTGCTGCCTTGCCCTTTTGTGCTGAATGCAGTGGTTTAGTTGTGCTTAGGGATGGGAGAGTAATTCAATTTGGTTCACATTTTGATGTGATCCTACCTAATTTTCACTTCCAAAATGCAGTTACCCTTTGAAATTCACTCTTATCTGAGTTCTGCAATGCCATTCTCCAATTAAAAAAAGTTTGCATGAATGCATATCAAAAGTGTAGTCCAACATCTTCTGGAGGGCCAACTGGTTCCTCATGTATATGTTGATGGCATCTCACCTCAAATCTTTGGATGACTTGACTTTGCACAGTGGTTTCATGTAGATGTTAAATAGCACGAGGGACAGAATAGAAATGGTTAAGATCCCAAGGAGTTACAGTAGTAGCTTTGCAAGAGAACTGAACAATATGTAAAATATGTTCAACTTTTAAAAGTGCTTTGAAAGTATCATGGTCTAGTTTTTAGTGTACACTATTCCCCAAATGTATATGTACTAGACTTCAGTGTACGTGCTTTTGTCTTCTTATCCTCCCACCAATACATTTCCCGGCCTTTTGGAATTTCCCAATTTAGATTTGCCCTGGCTATTTACATTTAATGTGAAGTTTTATCCCCCGGATCCCTCACAGTTAACAGAAGACATCACCAGGTATGCCGTGAAGCATTACTAGCTGACTTTGAATCCTGTGTTTTTCATATTTCCTTGGAATGCTATGTAAAGTTTAAGTCTGTAAGCTTAGGAGAACATGACCAAGATAGAAAAGACAACAAATAGTTTCTGGCTCAGAGCTCGGTAATGTCTGGAGACATCTTGCACCTGCTTGCTGCTAGCAACTTATCCTGAATCTGGATTCTGAAATATTTCTCTTGGATCTCTGATAGTGTAAAAGTTAAGATAACAAGTGAAAATGTATATGGCTTATAGATTCCTTTAGATGAATTTTGGGGAGCAGGGACTGGCATAACCTGAAGCTTTCTGTTGTAGAGAGAGGGCTATAGGGTATACGGGACAATGAGACAGGAACAAAATTAGCAGTGAATCAATAAGAAATATTCAAACACCCAAGTAATTGGGTGTAAACCAATTCCATACGAAATAAAGTTTCAGTAAGGATGTTATGATTGTGAACTAAAATATCTTTGCAGTGAATATAATCCATTTGTACTAGAAATCAGAATATTGGTGCTAGGATTTCACAAGTGCGTATCTGTTAATGGATATCAATTCACACACATAAATTTATTGGTGGATATATATGAAGAACAGATTGCACTTGGAATCCTATGTCCTTTAAAAAGGTATTTTTGTGGCATGTTTTTTTTTAAAACAAAAACAGTTTGCTTTAATAAAGATATTTATCTTTTTAGTTTTCTTAACATGTCAAAATAAATAAGAAATATTTGTGTGATGACATTTTCTCTGTTCAGGTACTTCCTATGTTTGCAGCTTCGGCAGGATATTGCTTCTGGCCGCCTACCATGTTCTTTTGTGACCCATGCTCTCCTTGGTTCATATACTCTACAAGCAGAACTAGGTGACTATGATCCAGAGGAACACAACAGTGATTACATAGGGGAATTTCAGTTTGCACCTAACCAGACAAAAGAGATGGAGGAGAAAGTAGTAGAGTTGCACAAAACACACAGGTGGGTCATTTCTGAACCTTTGAGTTCTGTTCCCTTTCCTAGTAGTGGGTAGAATTGGATTTCATGCAGAATCCTAATACCTAGAATGCCTTTGTATTTCTTTATAACCTTAATTTGGAATATCACAAGCAAGCTCAAGCTTAAGAGTTTTTTGTTCTTAAAGATTTGGAAAATCAGCCAAAGGTGTGTCCATTGACTTAGCCAGTAAAAACAGTAACAAACTCTTCTGATGGAAAAAAATCAGATTGAAATTACATTTGTAAATTGAAACCACAGTTGATGATCATCTGTCCTCATCATGAACTTTTGCAGTTATGACTACAGCGCTTCATATCTGAGCTACTTTTGTTTTTCTTTTTCCCTTGTTCTGGAGTTAATATCCAAGTATATTTGAATAGTATGGTAACATTTTTCGAACCAATAAATCCTCAATATTCCCCAGAGATTGTGTACAAGAATGATGTAATGGGGAGAGGTAGATTGTTTTCAGTGTAGGCTTAATCATCTAGAGAAAAACATCAGAGTTTTTCACTCATAAATTACTTGTATGATTTTTTCCAATCCAGCAAAAAATGTTTTGTGAGATTATATAATGCTAGAGCTGCGCCACTCAGGTGTGCGGCTCCATTCATGATCAGGCAACTTCTGCGGTTATCTCTCCATTTTATTACTGCTAGTATGTGGTATAATACTGTTGTGACAGGGGATAACTTTATCCTCTTCCGCCACTGCACTCAGTGGCAACAGCACAGGCTTACTCTTGTCATCCATATTTTAAGGTTGCGTTGTTGAACACTGGGCTTCATCCAGCCAAAACCAAGCAATTTATGTTCTGACTAGTGATGGGTAGCATACGCTTCACTTGTCATTGAAATTAGTAGGACTAAAGCAAGTAATTTTAACTTGACTGTGCCCCCAGCAAAGTGTGTGTTTTGCTGAAATCATTGGGTACTTCATGTAGTTAGCTTTGTGAGGAACTGAACATTTTGTATCACATGAGGGAAGAGGAAGGTTTCACAGAAGGAATCTACAAAATATAATTAGCCAGACTCATACATTTTGCAAGTAATTGGAACCTTGTGTATATGTTTTAAAAAGACTTCCCCTCTCTGTGATTTACTTGCATTCAAGTTGTTTTGCTCCTCTCCCTACCCACAAACCCATGGTGATTAGAACATAAACAGATATGTTTCAATACGATCCATAATCTCAGCAAGGAAACTTAAATCTGTCCAGTTGGCCATTTGCACTGCTAGATAGAGAAAGCCATGATTGGGCAAAAGGTTACTGTTTTAGGCAACAGTGAACTACTGTGTAACAATTGTAGCCAAAATTATTATACTGTCCTATGCCCGTAGATCTCAGGGTGGTTCACAACATTAAAATTGCAATATAAAAAATAGCAGATATTAGATGTGTTCCAGCCTTAGTGCTTATGGGTAATATACCTCTGTTCTATAAGGAGAGTAACAGCTAATTTGTGACAGTTGGGGCAAGAGTTTCCTACTGTCGGCTTAACATTTCAGAATGTCACAAGCAAATGCTTATGACCTAGATTTCTTTGTTGACAGAGGCAACGATATCACTGTAATAGCAACAAGTTTAGATCAAATTTCCCGATACTCTGTTCTTCAAAGAATTTATTATTTGTTTTCTTCTTTATTGTATAATGCTCCTGCAAGCAGTTGAGATACGCATGTGTGCAGAAGTTGCCCCTTTTGTTCTGTAAGGTTCATGTTGGAAAGGAGGCTTGACAAATCTTTTAATTAGGTTCATTGTAAGCCAATTTTTTTTTAAAAAAAACACTCTTTCCACATTTAGGGGGTTCCCTGGTAAAGAGGGTGAGTGTTCAGGTTTACACCTTCCATTAGTAGAAGGTGGGGTCTGTGAAGGGCTCTGCTGAACTGTGGGCAGGAGCGTTGTGGGGTGAATAGTGGTCAGTATATGTTGAAGGAACTGCATTGGCCCAGACCAGCCTTTCCCAACCTTGGGTCCCAGATATTCTTGAACAACAATTCCCATCATCTCTGACTACTAGCTATGCTGGATAGGAATGATGGGAGGAGTTGTCTACGGATTCAAGGTTGAGAAATGCTGGTCTAAATTATGTTGGCCCCAACCACTCCACCAGTACCTTTCAGGTAGTTCAACAGCAGCTAGTAAATTTTAGAGATGGTTTTGGCCAAAGAGTATGGAGCTGCTGTCACATATTGGTGGGAGGAGGAAACCCAAAGATTCCCAAATGCCCCCCACCCATTCTCCCCAGAACAGGACACCTGTGTTAAGAAAATCCCTGGTTCCCCCCCCCCCCGCTAAAAATGGTTCTAAAAGCAATCTCCAACAAAGCAAATCTCTTTTTCTATAACATGTTACACCTTTGCAGCCTTTTCCATAGGAGATAGATGCCAGGTGAGGATACCTCCCTGATTACTTACCCAAACATGAGATAGTACTGTTTGAAGATTCAGGTTCTGTTGCTTCCTTAACATACTTGGAGACTTGGCAGACTTGCTAAGACCATGGCTTGCATAGTTTGAGCTTCTGCCATTGATTTTTTAACCAAAATGTTTATTAGAGACTTGGAGAGGTGTTGGTTTTTAAATAATATCTGCCATGCCATTTAACTAGTATCCTGTCATTTAGTTTCAGTGCTTTTCTACAGATGCGAGGGTCAGTGACTGCTAGGATTGAATGTGTAGCTGAAACAAGATGCTGTTGAGGGCCAGATGCTTGGGATAAATGGAATAACCAATCACAGTTAAACCCTCAAAAGGCTACTGCTAGAAACAGGCTGTTGTAGGGACATGGATCTGATGCAGGAAGGCTTATGTTGTTCTTGATACTCATTTTTGCTGTGAATTTTCTTCTATCAATCATTCCAGAGGCTTGACTCCAGCACAGGCAGATTCCCAATTCTTAGAAAATGCTAAGAGACTTTCCATGTACGGAGTGGATTTACATCATGCTAAGGTATTGGCCAGCATTTCTATAGATGGCATTTCATTTAGAACAGAGGGGTGTGGAACCTTATCCACAAGGGAATGCGGCATTCAGGTTGAATAACTTTCTGAGGCCACATGCCATCAGTTGGTGGGACCAAAGCCAAAATTGTGCAGGGCTAAAGCAGCATACACATCCCATTTATACCCAGCTATCCACAGGTACTCCACCTATTCACGCCCTTTCATACATCTACATGCAAGGATGTACCATATTCAACCATTCATTTTCTTTCTGTTGCACATGCCTCACACAAAATCATCATTTGCATTGAACCAATTGCATTGCATTTTAAAAATAAGCCTTTCCCTTTCTTTTTTTCTTTTTAAAAATCCTCTTAAGTAAACAGATGCTCCATACAGACTTTTTCCCAGCTTGTATTTTAGAAAATAGGGCTTAAACTCCTGACAGTTTATATCTCTCTTTACTTTTTCTATCCCCAACTCAGTCACTCTTTTCCCTCCCCTGGTCTCTGTGCATCCTCTCTTATTTTCTGCCATGCATGTGCACATACCTCTACAACATGCTGTAGTTTTCAGACTGCAGTTTTACTTTTGCCTCCTTCTTTCTCCTGGTCATTTCTGTGTTGTCTGCATACAAACCTAGTCTCTACATCTCCTCTTTTCCCTTCTGTGAATCATACAGTGCCCAGAATAATGCACTTGAGATGAAGCCAGAACCAGAACTGATTCTAGCATGTGTTAAAGGCAGGCTAAGCCACAGGAGGGAAAACATGACACTCAAGGACTTCTGATTAAACATACATAGGGTTGTGCTACAACTCAATGCCTTAATGGGATTTCTGTTGAACTATTAAGGTTTCTGTTCTCTTTTGCATTTAATACTGATAGTATCCATGTAGCCTCTGTTTATTCTAGAGTTTTACAGCCTTTTTGAGTCCACGGCTCCCTTGAGCAACAACATTTTTTCTGCGGCACCCCTGTGGGGCTTAGGGGCCCAATTATGTCACCCCTTGCCTGCAGAACTGGCAGCCCTTTATCCCTTTTTGAACACCCTCCCTTTTGTAGTGTTCCCTCAGCCTCTTCTCCCCTCTCCTTGGGAGTCCTCTAGGCAGCCACTGCTGCTACCCCTGGTCTTTGAGCTGCCCCCCCCTGCCCCAAAGAAAGATGCCTTCTCACACTGCCCTACAGGGGCCTGGAAGCACCCCCTGGCCAGCCCCAGAGGCACCATTTGCCTGAGAAGCTTGTAGCCAGGGCTGCTGCAGCAAACAGCTATGCAAGCCTTGGGGAGGCAGAGACACAAGAGGGCATCAGAGGAGGGATGGAAGGAAAAAGGGACAGAGGCCAGTATTGCTCACAGCACCCCTGTGCCATGGCATACTGGTTGAAAACCACTGATTTATTCCTTAGAAAGTTTAGATTTTTCTATCACTGTTTTTTTCTTAGCTTCAATCTCTCATCACTTCCTGCTGACTCTTTAAAAGGTTACATTTTGTCTTTGCTACTCCATTAGTCTTAAAGGCTCTGTCAAAGATTACTGCTCTGTGATCTTTGGATTAAAGGCCGTATTTAAATATAATAATAATAATAATAATAATAATAATAATAATAATAATAGTCTTTGATAAACCTGCTTTTATTACTCTCTTGTATCCAGCCTCTCATAAAATCTTGTTATTTATCTCTATATTTCCAGAATAAGTTATTTTTCAGCTCATAACCACAAAATGTATTAGTTCAATATTATACTTTTTCTGGTTTTTAAACTTCTATTTCTTAAGCCTTTATTTAAGACTTTTTTTTGCCTACGATACAGTGCTCATTGATTTTCCAAGTGTTATTTGGATGAGCTTAGCATACCTTCCTGCTCTTTTGTCTTCTTCTTTCCATATTCCTTCAATATTCCAATAGAAATTACTTTTACAATTGTCTTGATAGGATTCTGAAGGCGTTGACATCATGTTAGGGGTATGTGCCAATGGGCTTCTTATTTACAAGGACAGACTCCGAATCAATCGTTTTGCCTGGCCCAAAATACTGAAGATTTCTTACAAACGCAGTAACTTCTATATTAAAGTCCGACCAACTGAGGTAAGCATTTGACTGGCATAATTTGCCACTCTGTTGTTATAACTTTCAGCCCAGAAGTTCTTTGAAAATAGGTCCAATTTGCATTGTGAATAATGTAGGAATATGTCCATTTGGTATAGTTTTTTAGCAAATACAGTTTCATCCCTGGTAGTATAGATAATTAAGGTTTCAGTATGTCCGCAGTGTGCTTTCTGATGATTGGACACACTCCTGCCCTGTAAATTTCCTTACTGTAATGGAAGGTTGCCATGTTCTCACATCTGCCATTATGCAGCTCTTAGTTATGTGATTTGGTCTCACTGGAGTGGTTTGAATTATATTTAGGGAAGCTCATGATGTGGTTTAAGAACAGTCTACCATTTGAGTAGGTTTTTCCCATAACATGCAGTTCAGCTTCTGAGAGTTAACTGCTACTGATTTCAAAAACAAATGTCAGTTCCGTTTCGAACTAACATTGAGAAATGTGTAAACATTTAGTTTTAAAAATAGCATGGTAGTTTCGAGCCTGCTTGAACTATGTACAAAACTGAGAAACTCTGGACAATACTTGAAGGAAATTACAATCCTACTATCTAGTCTGATATTTAACTAGTCTTGCTGTTCATTCATTTACTCTGGTTTTTTATTAAATCTTTGTGCTAGTGCCATGCTTTTCATTAATTCCTATGTAAGCAGCATTTCATATTGCAAGTAAAACAATTTGCATGTTTTTGATGGAAATTTACTATAATAGACCATGATACTAGTATGTTATATATGTATGGAGAAACAGCTAAAGCACACATGCAACAATTTCTGCTGTCACAGCAAGCAAGCTTTAGTTTAGAAAGAGCTTGCCTTTTTTGGATCTTGGAAAAATATGGCTACTACCTATAGAGTTGCTTGTGAATGTATTCATTCTCTCTTTGGGGAAAAAGTGTAGTTACTACTGTATGCAATTCAAGCAGTGCTGTTATGTTAGAAATATGAAAACTCTGGAGTATTTCTAATCTTAAGAAGGGAGATATGCTGTAGTTGAAATAACTGCACTCTTAAATTGTAAGACTAGACAACAGTGATTTCTAGAATTTGTGCTAATTTTGGTGTTTGTAATCTTTATAGTTGGAACAGTTCGAGAGTACTATTGGGTTTAAGCTGCCAAACCATCGGGCTGCGAAGAAATTATGGAAGGTTTGTGTGGAGCATCATACATTTTATAGGTAATTTTTAAAATGTTCCTTAGTTATGGGGGTCACCATATCCTCTGGGGAGAATAGCAGCTTTGAGAGGGCAGTTTTGATTGAAAATGCCCTGTGGGTTGAGGACACCCTTCCCCTGCCACTGTTTCAATGAAATTTGCAATCTGTTAAAAGCAAACAAACTTTAGGAAGTCCCACATTCTGTTTTATTTTGACTTGGTAATATCCTGCATCCTAATACATGAACCATCAAATTTCTAACTATCTTTGCTGAGTAAAATCACCTCTGCAAATTTTCCACTATTACACAACAACTATTAGAGTATTTTTTTCTCACTTCTCAACGATGTTGAGATTATATGATGTTCTCTTTAATCATGAACCATGTTACTGCTGTAGTATTTTCAGAGAGCTCGAACTGGCAAATATGAAACTACAGTATTTCAGATTGTATGTACCCATGACATCTTTATATGTAGTTTGTACATGTCACCATCAGTGTTGTGCATAACTCTTCACCTGCAAATAAGAATAATGGATTTCCTCTGAGTGTGATTCTTAAGGAGGGGAAATTGGGATGTTGGGAAAGAAGTCATAAAAAGTGTTTTGTGAACTCCCCTAAGTTCACTTGGTAAAAAAATAATTAAAGTCAGGATATAAATTTTAAATAAATATGATTCTGCAGCAGGGTCATCACTCAGATTATGGATGTATATCATAATAAGATGAAAGTACCTTCATTAATAAACATAAATAATGCATTTAATGCAGGTCCAGGAAGTTGAGTGGACCAGCAGCAATACCTAGATGACAAAGGCCATTTTGTACTGATAATGGCAATTTGGTTGTTCATTTGCTTGATTTGCTTATCTTCATTTAAAAAGAGTAATTAAAACAGCAAACTTTAACATAATTTAAAGCTCATACAATAGAAGCAATAAAAGTAACAGTATTAAAACTTAACCTGACTAGAAAACACATAGACCAGGTTTTTACCTGGTCCATGCAGGAAAGCAACACAGTTGCCAACCCACATCTTTGAAAAGTATTCTGTATTAAGAATGTCACAACAAGAAGCTCTGTCTCCAGTAGTCATCCACTCAACCACCAATAGTCAGACTATTAGGCTTATGTTCTCCATAGACTGCCAGGTTAATACAGGTGAAAACCATTCTTCAGATGCCCTGATCAGAAGCCATTTAGGATTTTCTAGGTTAATGCCAGCAGTATGAATGCTGTTCAGAAACAGACTGGAAGCCAGTGTAGTTTAAACATGTATATGATTCTGGTTTTGCAACAAGTCAGTAATCTCACTGCAGTATTTTGAACTGACGTATCTGATGCTTTTAAAAAGCAGCCCCACATGCAGCACATTTTAGTAATCTCAATGAATATGCTCAGAATAGGAATTACTTGTTATTCAGGAAGGGGTCCCGCTAGTGCATCAGCCAAAGTTGGTGAAATGCTCTTAGGGTTTCCAGAGGCTAGATTAATGTTTTGGTCACGAATCAAAAGCCTCCAACTACAGACTGTAGCAGAAGAGGCTCTGCAGTCATTCAAGGTGGTGGTTCTCCTTTCATAGCTGGCAGTGGGAAGCATGATTTTGTATTGTTTCGATGGATTTTGCTGTAATCCTAAACAGATTTATTCAGGACTATATTTCCATTTTACTTCTAAATAAATGAATACAGTATGATCTGACTTTTAAAACATTCTCTAAACAGGGGAAAAATATTATTTGCTGTCCGGTCAGCCTCGTTTTAGACCATTTCAAGTTACAGATTTATTCTGTGACATTTTCATAGAATACAATTTAATTGGATTCTATTCCAATCAGAAATAGCTGTTTGGGTAAGGAGGGAGAATGTATTGCATGTATCAAATCCTGTTCCTACTGATGGTCACCATGCAGAAAATCCGCAGATTTAAATCATCCTGATTTAAAAATAATCTGGCTTCTGTGTGTTCCAAGAAAAAAGCTATGCCAGCAAGACTTTGAAAGACTATTCACATAAACACGAGCAATATAACTGTTGCAGCAAGTGTAATTCTAATAGTTACAGCTGTTTTTTTAGAAAGGTCGTATTTATTACACCCATACACAACCACACCCCACACCCCCTTAGATAAGGTACGGGGATAGGACAAATACTGTTCTATCACTGCCATTCAATTCACTGGAAATACTGTGCAGGGGTTTCATGCAGATTCCTTTTGAATAAATGGATGCTCGGTAGCATCACTATCAGGGCTTATCTTCCCATTGCTTTTAGTTAGTCATCTTTCCATAGTCATCTAGTCCAGTGTTTCCCAACCTTTTTTGGGCAAAGGCACACTTGTTTGATGAAAAAAATATCGAGGCACACCACCATTACAGCCCCGTGACGTCAGCGCGCAGCGTCACGCCGGGAGGGACGCACGAAAGTGTAACTTTCAATTTTTCCCCTCCCCCTTGCCGGGGAACCTCCAAGCTTTGGGGGTGGGGGGGGAGGAGGCAGCAAAGCGAGGGACTGAGGGACCCTAACCCTAACCCTCACCGATCACCCGGGAAAGCATGCGAACGAGGAGCCCCCGTGTCCTGCTCCAGGCAGCGGACGACACAAAGCGAGGAGGCCTGGACAAGGCAGCACGCTCCCCGCTCTCGCTGCATCGGGGCTTTTCTCCTCCAGGCCGCTTTCGAAGTCCCCTTCTCCGCTCCCAAGAGCCGGAGCCGCTGCTTCCAGGCCCTGTCCGAGCCCCGACTTGTGGCCTCACTTCGAGGAGCGCCTGTTGCTGGGGGCGGGGCTGCATCCCCCTCAGCCGCCGCCTCGCTTCCTTCCAGGAGACCCGACGGCTCCCCCTCTCCCGCTCGCCCTCCTGCGCCCGCAGCAGACCGAGACCTCCCCGCCCCCGCCCGGCTCGGCCCTACCTGGGCGCCTCCAAGCCCGGCCGGCTCCGCGTCGCGCTCCACGCCGGGCAGCTGCAGCAGGGGCTGCGCGGGGGCGCGCGGCGGCCCGGCTGAGCGCGCCCCGGAGCCGCCGCGCCGTCGCTCGCGAGTCCCTCCGAGAGCCCGCGGGACTGACTCCGGAGTCGCAAGGCGGCGCGTCGCCCAGGGAAGGGGCGGCTTCCCACAAGCACGACGACCGAAAAGAGCCCAGCAGAGCGCGCGCCCCAGAGGACTTGGGGGGGTCTGTAGGGCATCAGTGGCCCCCAGAATTCTGCCCGCCCCTCGCCCCATTTGATCCAGATTTACCCTCCGGGGAGAGCGAGCCCCGGCCCAGCAGGGGGCGCCCTCGCTCCGTCCTCCGGGAAGCAAACGCCCTCGCCCGCCTCCCTCCAGGCAACATCTCGCGGCACACCAGGCAACATCTCGCGGCACAGTAGTGTGCCGCGGAACACCGGTTGGGAAACACTGATCTAGTCAATGGCTTTGCCAGCTGACTCTAAGGAGTTGATTGGCAAAAGAATGCAGTAGTTTTAGCTGCCATTGTTACCATTGTAGGAGGAGATTCAGACCAGAAGGTTCCCATAGTGGAGTAGTATATTAGTAGTAGCAGTTGACTAACCTTCATGGGGCCAGTTAAGATTGCCTAGCCTGGGAAATCTTGGGTGGAACTGTGGTTTTCCTCCTTTACCTGGAGAAAATAGGCATGGGGTCTAACAGGGCATGTTGATGGGGAAAGCTGACAGATGCTACCTTTTTCTGCTTAAGCCAGGCTTGTGGTTAGTACTTGTGTTGGGCTTCAGATGTTGGAGCACAGAATTTTTAGGTTAGTATGTATGCACCCAACTTTTTTGTTCTTGTTTTGGGGAATGTGCTGGATGCTTGTATGCATACACTATTTTTAGGGTAAATAGAGATGATTAAATATATATTACATATCCATTTACTTTTGCTTACTATCTGAAGACAGGGTGTCAATAATAACATAGATCTAATGCAAAACTTGCATTTCAGATTTTCGGGTAGCTTGTTAGGAAGAGAAGACTAGGTTCAAATGTTCTTTCTTATATGTTATCTCCCTTTGCAGGAAGTAGTGTGACTTGGGAAACATGCAGTCTCTCATTTGTATTCTAAAACAGTTCTGGTCTGTAAGGGTTGTACTATAAGATTTTTATGAAAGTTTTAATTTACTTTTATATAGTGCTTCTTGGTGATTGTTTTTAATGTCTGAGATACCTAATATTCTGTGCGATTTTGAGAATATTTTGGAAGTTTGTACCCATACTTTTCAGTTCTTTGTATAACCAAGATTGGTAAATTAAAGCATCCTTGAAAATATCCCAAATAAGGAAGTAATTAGGTTTTTCTCTTATTAAGAGATTAAAAGTTTATCTCAGCAGGGTAGAGAATTAAAAACAGAAATTATTGCTATAGCAAGAGGAGAGCTATGTCTGTAAATGAAAAATGATTCACATTTTTCCACTGTGCATGTGGCATGTAGCCATGCAGTACTAAAAGAAACATTTTTAACATGCTCTTCAACCCATTTTTTTTAAAAGAAAAGTGTTCTTAATTAATCTCTTCAACAGGATCAAAAGTAAAAAATCATGGACAACTTTGGTCCTTTTTTTATATACTGGGATTGGCTATTCCCACTAGCCCTATGTGGGGCCTGCAAGAAGGTTAACCTCAGACGAGTGCATGGCTGTAGCTACCACTTCTTGAAGGCCACCTCCATGTTTTAACCCCATGTTTATTAGACAGGGGTGGAGGAACTCTGGCCCACTAGCCATTCTTGGCCTACCAGGCAGTCCAGTTTGGCTCATGAGCCCATGTGTGGACACTGACTAAGGACTACTTTGCATATGCAATATAAGGTGCAAGGCTGCTTATTTGGCCCTGCTCCCACATTGCTCTAAGAGCAACAATGCCTGAGTAGGTATCTGACATGCTTTTGGAATATGGATCTTTTTTTAGTTTTGAAATACCCTTGAATATGGTGACTTGTTTCCTTTTTCTTTTGGGGGTTATAGACTTGTATCTCCAGAGCAGCCTGCCAAGGCCAAGTTCCTGACACTAGGTTCCAAGTTCCGCTACAGTGGGCGTACTCAAGCACAGACACGGCAGGCTAGCACTCTCATAGACAGACCTGCTCCGTACTTTGAACGGACCTCAAGCAAACGTGTTTCCAGGAGTCTTGATGGTGGTAAGAGTCTAACCAAAACTAGTAAACTCCTAATATGTGCCGCACATAGGTTCTTCAGAGAAATTAGAACTGAATATTCAGATAAACTTCTTGTTTGAACTTAGTGTATAGTGCTTAGTAAGGCATTTAGGGCCAGCACTTACAGAGGGTATAAAACCATTATGTTTATGTACCAGGATGGAATTTAATATATTGAAACATTTTTGTATCGAAACACATTCATAGACCTGAGTTATTAGAATGTGTCTCATTTTTACAATACTACAGTTGCTTTGTCTTAGAGCCCCTCCTCCTGGTGGACACTAAATATTGTCAATATAGCATTAACATTATGCGTGATCTTTTGATTTATCTCCTCATTCCTGAATGTATGAAAATTGTCCAGTGATATTGGTTTGATGTTATCATTTGCCAATATACCTTTATAGCTGACCTTTAGCACCTCACAACTTTCTATAACAAACAAATCACTTTCTTCAACATTTAGTCACTATATTTTAAAATGTTCCAAAGTTTTTTTCACCCAAACTGTTTACTGGCATATCATGTACCCAGTTTCTTTTTCCATTAATTTTCTGACTAAAAACAGAATGCACTGGAACCTTAAACAATAGACAATACTTGTCTCATAAAGAGCAAGGTACTGTGGAATATTTCTCTCAAACATAGTTGAATTAACTAAACCTATTTTTTTTGTAGCTCCAGTGGGCATTGCAGACCAGAGCCTGCTTAAGGACTTTTCTGCTACAGCTGTGGGGCCTGCTGGTGATAGAATCTTTGAAGCTTCCGGACAGTTCAAATCAAAAGATGGGGAAGGTAGAGATGAGGATGGAGGCATAAGTAAAATGCCACAATTAGGAGATGGAAAGGTAAGATTGCTGATGTTTTTCAGCTTTGTGGAAATAATTGATTTTGGAAATGTATTAAAACCAACTGCTGCATTAGTGGAGCTGCACTTCAGCTAATAATTTGGTGGCTGGGTTTTTTGCACAGGATGACCCACCTATATAGGGGCAGGTCTTAAGGCACCAGTTTATATGGGTAAACTGGTGAAAGCTGCTAAAGAGCAGTTTTTCTAGAAGGCAGTTACTCTTCCCTAGATTAGTGTACCTGGTACCAAAAAGAGAGGGGCTGTGTTCATCACTTCCTAGTTGTGGAAAGAGCAGGTAAAGTCCTGCAGTCTTGCCCAAGGACATCTTATTTGGTAATAAGCTGCTCTGGAGTAGAGCTAATATATTTGCTTCAGAACTCCCTGCAACTAGCTCCATTCAGTTGTGTGAAAGTGAAATCAATTTGCATATATAATTCATTTTATGATTTATTCATAATTATGCTACCTATAGTTACATTATGCAACCACAGCTGCCATCTTCTATGAATAACTCTGTGCAGAAGAAAACATAATTAAGTGTAACACACATGTTTTATACTAGCTTTTATCATTTGTGTGCTTGAAGCACAATACTAGGAAATTTATTTTATAATGTGAGGTGAATCGATGTGAGATATGGACATTTAAACTTTATTTTCATTTCCATATTGACAGGTTATAAACATACATTAATTTGAGCTTTTTCTGGCACACACAGCGTGGAATCACTTTACTAAGAATACTTTGAGATTTGATTCAATCTTTTTTTTTTTTAAGGTTGTAATCCGCTGAATTATCTGTGGAATATTTGTATTTTGACGGTTACACTTTTAAATTTAGCACTTTCAAAGGAAAACCTGTAGTTGGAAACATTGTCCTCATGCTGATGTCTCTCCCCTGCCCACCTTCTGTAGAAGCTTTGAATGTCTGTCTGCTTTCATCTATTGTGACTGCACTACTACAGTTCCAAACTACAGAATTCTTCACAGCCTTACAAGGTGGCAAAAATAAAAATCTTTTTGAGCTGATATAATCCAGGTATTTGGATTATATGTTGTTGTATTTGAATACAATTGGGGCTAATGAATGTTTGTGGCATCCATATTGTAATGGTAGTGCTGTCCCTACCTCTGAATAAATGTTCTCACTAACAAGTTTCTTCCCTCCTCCCTCTTTTGTGCATTCCTTCTGCCCCTCAAATGTGCATTTATATCATGGTCTCTCATCTGCATCTGCGACTGGACTCTCCCCCTCCTCCAGTCAACATACACGCATCAGCTTTCACTTCCCAATCATTCTTATTCATTTTGTTCCCAAAACCTACCTGCTATCCCTGAAATGGACATATTTTCAGACATTTCAGAGGATGATCATCTTGGTAAACCCATGTATACTCCCTCAGATACCATAGTCTGCAACCCTGTGAAAGAAGCACCAGTTCATGGTATAAATGAACAGAAGTTCCCAACTAATCACTTGGAACTTATGGATCTTTTGGTGGCTGACCAATGTCTCCCTCTTGCTATAGAGAGAGCTGTTCATAAGAATACTGATCATGAAGATTCTGTGTCTCATTTTCCAGTTAGTGCAAGCAAACCTTTTCCTTTCAATTTCCCTTCTCTGCTTGATGAGAATGGTTACATTAGCTTTCCTAGCCTTCCAGAAGTTTGCATCTCGTTCCTCCCACCTTATCTTCAGCATTATATTCCCATTACTTCTCCCTCATTCATTCCCTCCTTCTTCCTCATCTTTGTGCTGCTTCTCTGTACCATCCACTCTATTCCTTTCTCACTCACATTGTCCCTTCCTGTTGCTCTGTCCCTCTGCTACCTGGAGCCTAAGACAATTTCTCTGACCACCTCTAATGACACTGCTCTAAAAGACAAAGCTGAGGAAGAGGAGGTGTGTAACTTTGTTGTCTAAATTGCCACTTGCCTGTAGATTTGTTTGGGTGTACTAAGAGAGAAATTCAACCTTCATCCTTTCAGCATGAGGCTGCAGACGCCCTATTTTTTTTTGAAAAAAAGTATTCCTTCTGCAGATATTTACGCATCTATCTTCATAAAATCTAGTCTTTTTAAAAAGCATTCACAATTTTTTCACTTCATATGGTCCTTTTAAGGACCTTCTCATACATCTACTGCTTATATCCCAGTGGTATTGAGAGACCATAGTTAGGTGCTGTATACAGCGGTACCTAGGTTCTCGAACTTAATCTGTTCTGGGAGTCCATTTGACTCCCGAAACCGTTCAAAAATCAAGGCGCGGCTTCTGATTGGCTGCAGGAGCTTCCTGCACTCAAGCGGAAGCAGCATCGGATGTTCGGCTTCCGAAAAACATTCACAAACCAGAAGAGTTATTTCTGGGTTTGTGGCATTTGGGAGCAGATTTGTTCTGCAACTAAGCCATTCGGGAACCAAGGTTCCAGTGTACTATCTTTGTGAAGAGCTGTGTACAGTTTCACTGCAGCCATTCTGAAAAGGGGATACAGCGATCTCACAACAGCCCTGTGTTCATCTGTCATATGAAGGTGCTGTTCCTTGCAAAATGTCTGTCAGAACCCACTGAGTCCACACATTTCTGGATATGATCAGAGGCAATCTCAGGCTCCTTTCCCCCCCATGGCAAGGAGAAGTACACCCCACCCCCACTGTCCCTTGTGCCCTTGTCAGAGGAGCCCATGTGTTTGCTTGGCCGCCCAGAGCAGTGGAGGAATGGCCCAGGGAGCATGCAGATGGGCAGGCAGATACTAAGCCTCAGCCTACACGGTTGGCATGGGCCAACATTAACCCTTAGGTACGCTCCTGGATAGGTACACTCACACGGGATCTGCCAAAAATATTAGTTAACTGTTAGACACAGTACTTTGCAACACAGCTTAGCATTTATTGAGAAAAAAATGATTTATTAATTGCCTTCCCATAATCCATATTCTTCTACTTTTTAGTTCTTCTCTAGCACTGACAAGTACTTGAAATTCCTTGTTCAAGGAACAAGTTCAGCAACTGTTTATCATTTTGAGAATGAGTCTATGTGAGCCTTGAACTTGTGTGCTTGTCATTTGCTACACCCACAAAGATATTGGAAGCATTCATTTCCATTTTTTGGTAGCTACAATTAAGTGGTGGTACATCCAAACCAAGTTAGTAAACTATAGTAGAAAAGAAGCAAATGAACTTCAAACCATGGTTTGCTGGCTTATTTCCATGAACTAGTAACCCAGATGTATAATAAAACTTAACAAAATGTTTTAAGTGGTGCCTTTTCTACTCCAACCTACATTCCAATGAAGTAAAATATTCCACAGCCAAAAGGTCTTGTGTGAAAAAATGTCTTTCCCTGGGTCGGTTTTTTTCCTCTTTAAATGAGATTTTAATTTTTTTCCAATGCATTAACATAAGCTGGAACAAAAAAAGTATTTTTTTGCCCCAATGATTATTTTTTTAAAATGAAACTTTGGGGGTACTTTTATCTGCATCACCGGATCAGATTTTAATGGGGGGTGTGCCCCAATATTTTAAGATTTGTGGGTGAAAAAAGTACTCCATAGCTCAATCAATAAACTCTTTGTGGTACCTTTTCAGTGCATGCATGTACCAAAAGAAACCTGTAAATGATATAGTTGGAAAAAAATTAAGTGATTGAAATTTGGGGCCGTTGCTTACTACTGTGTTCAGTTCTGCATAAAATCTGCAGTAGAAAAGTGCATCAGGCATGCAATTTCGGCTCCAAGGTCTGAGTTAGGGTTAATAATAGTTTATGGTTTGGGCATAATGATAAATTGTGGTTAATTGAGAGAATAGGAGGCCAAAGGTTTATATACGTTCAATAAAACCATTGTTTCTCATCACATCTGAACTTGACCATGTGTCAGTTCTGAAATTCAGTTTAGCTTTTTGTAGAGAGGGTGGAGAGAGAAGTTTTTTTTGTTTTAGTTTTTAAAGAGGGTGTTGAATTTTGACCAGTACAATTTTAACATTGTCAGATACAAAATTATATTAATCTACCTTAGTCTAGCATACTCCTACTTGGCTAAAATTGTCAGGATTACATTGAATGCAATTTATATATGCATGGATTTTTAAAAAGCTATACTTTAATGTTAATGTTGATAAGTTAAACCTCCTGACTATGTCCATTTGCTTTGACTGGGTAACACTGTCTGCATTCCATAGGGCAAATGCAATTGCAGTATTTTAAAAAAACATACTATGAAGATTTAAAGCAGAAAATTGTAGCCTCTCAAGAAGGGAAATCCTTGTGGTGAGCTAGCTGCCTGTGGTTGATAATACCAGAGTTATAAATATATATCAGACAGAAATGATTGTACAGTTTCTGAAGAAAGTCAGACAGAAAGATGGGAAACATTTATAGAAACCCCAAAATAGCGTGCATAACTGCACTGAGAACCTAGAGACCTGTTGCCAACCAGACACAGACAGGACGGGGCCAGTTAAACCAGTGGTCCAACTCTACATAGGACAGCTATATACAGCTGTGTTCAGTACGATACTTGTATCCCTAACTTCAGTGTAATCTAATATGCCAATTTCTGTATTATGGTGACTATTTGCTCATTTAATCAATTAAACACTTTTGATACTACATTGCAGCAAGAATTCCAAAAACCTCAGATAAAGGTGGGACTGGGATAAATATATCCTGATAATGTATTTGGTACATACTATACTTTCACTTTCATCTGGTAACTAGTAAGAGATGTGTGTGATAAAAGTAAAATAGTTATTAAAACAATGACCTTAAACTAATAGAGGTTGGTTTAATAGCTGGAAATTCATATTTTGATTCATTCTTATTTTGTGGGGACATAATTACTTTGATTAAAATTGTATTCCAGATGCCTCTTGCAAGTCACTCTTGGTTAGCTAACCTATAACACCAAGCCATAATTTGATATTACATGAACAAAGCTTCTGCTCATGTACTGCATTTCCTCTTCTCATCTCATGTTTCACTTTGGCTTGTTACTTCCTCTTTAGTGCAAACCATAATTTTCTGTTGCATCCAGAGCACTGAACTGTGGTTTGTGCTTTCCCTCCAGACAAAAACTGGCATTCAGCTACAAACTGTGATTTATAATCCTGGTGGTTTGTAAGTAACAGCAAACTCTAGTTTGAACTAAAGAGCAAGTTATTAAGCTGGAGTGTGTGGGGAGGAGAAGGGAATGCACAAGCATTTGGCTCATTCACAGAGCCCAAAACGATGGTTTAATGTTATACCTGAAGTCTGCAATATATATTTTTATGTGATATTCCAAAAAGCATAAAGCAAACCATTCAAATAAAGCTCTTGGTATCTTTCAGCATTTAACAATACAAATGTAATTTCCCCTGTATAGTTTTTAACAGTAAACGTACTACAGATATATTCTGTGTTGGTATTGCAATCACTCTTCTTCAGTGTTCAGAATTCAAGCTGATCTCTTCACCTTCAGATTTTAAAAAAAATATTTCAAACTGTGGAGAAAAATAAGCGAACACGATGGTTGTAGAGAGACAGACAAATCTTCCATTTTCCATTTCACCTATACCAAAAATTACTTCAGCCATTTCTACAGTGTTGTAGGTGGAAGACTTGCAGTGGTTTAATAACTTGAGCAGCATCCGAGGCAAAAACAATAAAGGTTTGTAAATAGAGCACATTGTTTGTAGTATTTCTAAACAAAAGACCATGTGCTACTTCAGTGTCTACACTAATGAGTGTTTTCTTTTGCTGACCTCTGGGCCTACATAGGCAGAGATAGAAGAGGAGGAAATTCGCAAGGAGGTGGATATTTTCAATTACACCTGGTTGTTGCCTGCTATTATCAGTGCTTGAGGCTGCTGTTGATTATGTTTGCATAGTGGCTACCCCTGTTTTATTTTAAAAACCCCATTTATTGAACTTTAAAACACTTTTTTGTTGTGTTGATGATCATGGGTTGTTGTTTTTCCGTGTCTTCTTTTGTGTGTGCTTTAATTTTACAGACCTTTTCCTTGAGAATAGATGGGGAAAATATTTATGTCAGACATAGCAATTTAATGTTGGAGGTTTGTATAATCTAAGGAGTACTTTTCTGTCCTCATGGGCTGCCAGGCTGCATGAGATTGGAGGTCACTTGCAGGCTGTTCTAGGCACAGTGCATGAAATGCATGGGGGTGTTCGACTTGGACATGCATGTTGAAAACCAATCTTAGTCACTGTAAATGAATGAATTTAAGTATGCAGCTGTTAATACATTTTGGAATGGCAAGTAGAACTTATAGCCCTGTTTAGATGTTAAGATTTGGAGGAAATCGGTTTTTTAAAGACTTGCCAAAATGGTTGAGGATGCACCATCTAGAATTCAACTCATGTTTCCTTTTACATTTCCTATGCATAACTGGAAATGTGAGGCAATGAATGCTAGTAAAAAATGATGCAGTAAAATTAGAACCAGGAAGTTCTTTGTTCTCTTCCTGGAATCCTAGATTCTATAGTAAAATAATACTTACACCGTGAAGTAATTCGTGCTTTATTTGTTGTGATATCAGGAGGCACTATATTGCCTTTGGAATGAAATTATGAATGGTAGATTCTTTTGGCAGCCATATTGAGTAAATATTGTTTACCTATTACATCCAAATAGTGCATTCAAAGTAACAAAACTTTGGACCCAGAAGAGCAAGCTTTGTCATCCAAATAGGGCTATTTGAACTGTTAGATTTAGATGATGTCAATTATTTGTATACATGCAAAAACATTACATTAAAATCTTCAGATTTACAGTAACCTTACTAATATGTTATGTTGCTTTTTGGCAGCTTCCGATAACTAAATACCTACTTTGTATAATTTTACTAAAACACTGTAAAGTGTACTGCATAACGTTGCATTGAACAAATCCAAGAAATGTGCCTGGTCTCAACCCAACATTCTTTTTGAAAATACTCTATTGACTCAAACTGTGATAAATCTCTACCAATTGGTTTTTTTGTTGTTGTTTTTTTGTTACTTAGATTGTTACTAAAGGTACTAGTTGTACCCCTTGGAAGTTTTTACTGCTTTTACACTTTTAAAGCTCATAGTGCCATACACATGGAAGTCTGGGGGGCAATATTTTGGCTAATTAAATGCCAACACAAAAAAAACTCCAGTTGTCCTCCTCCCCCAACAGACTATGGAAAAATGTCCTTCTTCCATGCTGTCCTTGTCACTTATCTCTCTCCCCCCGCCAGTGTTTCTTCTATCCCAGAGCCTGCTTCCCAACCCAATATTCCAGGCACTCTTTTTGTTCCTTCCCTCTTCTTGATATGCATGCTATCTTATTTCCCCTCTAGTACAAGGTTATATCTGAAAGCCAGCTTTCAGCATGATTGAATTATGTCATTCAGCATAATGGCATATTATTTTAAGGTGCCTTCAGATGTGGTTTGAAAATTAGTTGCAGCATGGATTCTAGGCCCCCCCCCACAGAGAGAGGAGGGAGAGAGAGAGAGAGAGAGAGAGAGAGAGAGAGACCCATGCCCATGTCTTAAGAATGACATACTGCTTCAAAGGAACTTCATAGAATTGTAGCTGGAGAATTGGGAAGTGCAAGCTTTCACTATGTTTGTTTAAATAAATTATAAAGCAAGATGCCTAAATTATTTCTGGTCACGCAGCATTTCCTGTGTGTTGTACTGCTTTTCCCTACAGAATGGGTAATCTCATGGTTGCTGTACTTTGCAACACAGAAACAGTTGAAGCCATAATTCTTTACCTACCATCTTCTCACGTGAGAATCACTGGTGTCCATGGTGGCGGGGAGGGGGCAAACTAGGCTCTCAAAGCTAAATGTACATTAATAGAATGCTTGATCCCCATCCTCTCACAGTAAATAGTGCCATGTACTTTTGTGGGCAAAAGATGGTGTGTTTATCCTGGATATTATTGGGGTGAAGGCAAACCCTGCTTTTCATCTGGAGCCAGGCCTGGTCTTCACTTTTAGGGAGTGCGTCATAATTATGGGTATTTTGCCCTTATAGTGACAAAAATAAACATTTGCTCTGTGACTAAGTGTTCTACATCTTAGAAACTGCCTTGTAGTTCAATTTGATAATACTGTAAAGATTAAGAAAAGAAAAAGCACATAATATCATAGTAAAAAAAGAGAACACTTTAACTAAGTAAATTACTGAATCTTGATATCCCAGGCACTTTTCATGGTGTGTTTTTTTTTAAAAAAAATGGTTTATGTTTGTCACATGTTGTCCTACCTTTTTTACATTACACATTGCTTAGGACCTGGATAAGACCCAGGATGAATTACTGAAGCATCAGGCTAGCATTAGTGAACTCAAGCGCAATTTTATGGAATCCACTCCTGAGCCACGCCCTAATGAATGGGAAAAGCGGCGTATCACACCTCTGTCTCTACAGACACAAGGGGTATGTCACTGAAGACCCTTGTCAGCATGCATAGCCACAAAATTAAGAAAATAGTTAAACTATACATTGTGTTTCAATATTAACCAGGAAGATATGGGGTGTTTCTTTGTTGCTAATGTGATATTTGTTTGCTGCTAACACATTAACATTGTGTGCATCTGTTGCTTTCTGTTTGCAAAAATTTCAAAGTAACTACATTACTTTTTAGGTTGAGAAAGCAAGAATGAAGTAGTTATTAATAATAATATAATTTGAGAGTTTTAGATAAAGAGTGTGGAATGTCAGTTTACAGTGCAGCTCCAAGTATATTCACTCCAAGTCCCTAAGTCATTTCATTGCCTCAACATTTACAGTAATTGACGTACTTCAACAGGAGGAAAAGGGGTAAGGGAAACACAATTCACAACCCTCCCTCCCAAAAAGGTGCTACAGAAAAAGTTATTCTTGAATGCACTCCAATTTAGTGGTGTTATGCCTAATGCATTTTGAGTGAACCTCTGTCAGGCAACTAAAAAGCAGATTTAGAAAATTCAACTTGGCCATTATCATAAAATGTATAATGCTAAAATGACATTCAAATGTTTTTATATAGTATTGAGAATGCTAATAGGATTTAAATTCCAGTATCAGTAAGTTCCAGTCTTCTATTTCTATTTACAGTTTTCAGTGTGTGTGTCCTTTAAAAAAGAAAAACAAATGCCATAGATGTGCCAATGTATGGCATGCTTTCAGGAATGAAATGCACTTTTTGTTTAGCACTTTGAAGTTTACCTCTTAGGTTGCTTTGTGAACCATTTCCATACAAACAACACAAATTAATTATGGAAATCCAGAATAAGCCAGTAGGTTCAGAACATTTATTTGTGGTTTTTATCTGTATTGAGGCAGATTCTGAAATCAGTGTCTCCAGAGTAACTCCATCATAAAATGCTTTTGCCTTAAAAACAAAACAACTTTTGGGCTTTTCAGTATTTAATGACCCAACCATGTGTGGTTTTTAATCTCTGTTTAGCACAAATAATACCCAGTACATAGACATGGGTCCACTGAAGAGCTGAACCTGTAGCATTTCCCATCCTGTGTACTTGGGGAGAGATAATTCAGAGAGTACTCGATGCATGATAGTGTATACTAGATGTCTGTGCAGAAAACATTGTTGATTATGCCAGTGACACAGGAATTCTCTGCCTGTTTTTATGCCAGTTGCCCTAGCATAAAAAGCACTGTGTGGATGTATTTGTTTCTTTTAGCATTCTGCCTGTCGTGTTCGCTGTTTACTGTGGCTGTTATCTCTTCTGCAGTTTATTAAATTTGTATTCTGCCTTTTCATCAAACGTGCTCAGCATAGCCAACATCAGTAAAATATAAAGTAAAATACAAAATGTGCCACACTCAAGCTATTTGAAAATGAAGACTCAACTATATTTCTCTGAATGTATATTGACATCAATTAAAACTGTTCTGCAGATCAATAATACCAAGAATGGGATCCTCCTAAATAGAGCCTTCTCTTGTTCCAAAGGGTATTTAGCTGTTGATAAGGCTGTATTCTTTTTTGTGTATTAAGAAATGAGGCTTTAAATGATGCTGCCTGATACACATATAGAGTATTATAAACTCAGGTGCCAGTTCAAGGTGTATCTGTCATATACCCTACGGAGTGGCAGATTTGTGCTTTTTGAATAGAGCTTGACTTTTCTCCAAATTCAGCCTCAAAGAGGGATGTGCTTCCTTTGGCGTTACCTTCAGTTTAGTTTTCATACCACTGTTCCCTAGCACAGCATAGGGAGCCAATTTCATATTTCTTAATGTGTTGCATGTCTTTGTCCAAAGACATCTTGTCAATAATAACGAGTTAATAGAATAAGAAATACGTCACAGTTTTAAGTTTCCAATAGTTGGTACTGTATAAGCAAAATACTTGCCAAGTGAGCAAGAAATTGATAATCCACTTCAAATTAGTGAGAATAACAGTAGTGTCATTATAGTTGCAGTGCCCTTGCCAATTTATATAATACCTGTGTTCTAGAGAGTTTAAATTTTATCAGTGAAATTAGTCATTTCTTGAAAGGTTGTCTTAGTTCCCTTCAGATACAGGACTATGCTACAGGTTTAAGTATGCATCACTGTCTTGCTTTTTCCCTTCTTTTCCCCATCAATTTTTTTGTACTCATTCTGAACATGTTAGAGCTAGCAGCCTATTTAAGAATAGTGCTATCTTTTGACATAATAGTAGTACTAATAAATTGTTTCATTAAGTTCTTTACTGCTGCAGGGGCAGAGTAGTAGGACACAAATGAAATATTTAGGCTGGGGAAATATTGGCCGCTATGCAAGAGACTTGCACTAGTGGAATGGAACTTTCCCATTCTCACCCCTGCAGCCCCTCCATGTGTCCTCAGTATCAGCTCTACAGGGCTGAGGGACCCTATAGAGAAGATTTTTGTGAGCATGCGAGGGAAGGAAAGAGAGGTGCCATGGCACCAGCAGAACTTCACTGGCACTGCTTTAAATACAAGCCATTATCAGTAACTATTGTGAATATTACTCAGTGGAAGGTGCTGGATTTTAACAGCCTGAAAAGAAAATCATGGTGCCTTGTGGGATCAACTGTTACTGACTTTTGAACTGTATGAAACTCTTCATGTACATAGATTGGGGTAGGTGGGAGTTTTCTACAAAAGTAGCTTTATAGGCAACAATTGATACTGAAAAGTGGAGGGCACTTCTCTTTTCAACATTCCTGTGCTCCAAATTGCACTCCAGCATAAATTTATATTATAAAATGAGTGTTTGCCTTCACAGCCATGTGCTTTGACAATCAACAATTCCTCCAAGTAAGCTCACAAAATCATTTAGCCCACATTTGGGTTATAATTTGGGTTTATTGCACACATTTTATAGTTCAGCTTTAAATGTGCTATCTTGCCTAACCTTCCTTTCATAATTAATGTCCTAGGGAAAATGGAATATTAATTAAGAAAAAAAGGGATTGCACAAAAGCCTGAAAATAAAAGTTTGAAATATAAGCTAGTTTTAATGGCCATGATACATAATAGGTTTGCACTTGAGGGTTCATGTAGGCTTCAACTTAATAACGTTTCAGAAAGGAGCAAGATTGTGAGAACAGAGTTGCACAATTTTCTTGATGAATGGTTTAGATCCAGAGATGTCTTGCGTGAGCCAGAAAGCCCTTCCAATTATCCAAGGCAGCTTTGCTGAAATCCTCGAATTTCTTATCCTACTCTAGTCACCCCACCTGCTTCATCACACACATTTTGAGAGGGTCTGTTGCCCTACAGGAATGGATTTAGGAAGATGCCATGATCTACAGTATGGGGGGGGGCGGGGAGCCAGGGAAACCCCTTGATCATCTTCAAATCCTATCCGTAATGGGTTAAAAAAAGAATATCATGAACATAGATGGAGCTGTATCCTTTAGGGAAACACATTTGAATGTACTCTTTCTTGTGTTTGTGTGCTTTCCCCCCTTTCCTGTCCTTTTTCTTTTCTTGCCTGATGCTTTCCTTTATTTTGTAGGTCACTGCTGTTTTGTCTTCTGCTGTTTAATTCGTTACTTTCCATTTTCTAACTTGTCTAGAGCCTAGAAGAGGAGATAGCATCAATTTTATTTAGTAAAGAGGGTTTTTCCACTAGCATGAAATCTGCCTTCACTTCAGCTACCTTGTGGACAGCAGAGGGCACTGTTGTGAAAGATAATGTACCTTCTGAAAAGCTTTCTGCCTCGCCCTTCTCTCAGCTGCCTGAGGTGCTTTTCCACATTTACTTTTTCCACCATAAAACTATATATGAAGACAGTGGGGTTTCATGTCAGATGAAATTGTGTCCCAGTGATTAAAAGATTGTAAGATGAAATTAGGATAGAGAAAAATGCAGAGCCTAAAATAAAGCTATTTGAAATGGCTGGTGTGTATGCAAGACCCCTGCATGAATTGGTTTTACCAGTGACTTGCATGTAGAAGTGCCAACTCCATGCAGGAAGTGGGAAAGGACAGTTAGAATGTAAATACATATTGCACCTTTGTGCTTTTTTTAAAAGTTAGAAGTAAAATTATTTTGAATGAAAAAATGAAAGGCAAGCGCAAGCTAAAAGCTTATCTTGCCCATTCTAAATGTTTTGTAGACATAGATCTTCAAAAGAAATAGTACTATATATTGTTTTTCTCTTCCATTTATATTTGAAATTATCTGGCAGCCATAGATAAATCTAGTCTTAAACTTTAATTTGAAACCAAAATTAAATCACAGCTGCTGTCATAGGATTAATTATTATAGTAATGGTACTGTTACATTTTTCCTTTCACTTTTTTGTACTGTCCCTTGTGTGTATGTGTATGTGTGTCATCTCTTAGCTTTTAAGATCTACATATGTCAGTTTGCCCTGACTTTAGGTCATAACAAGTGGCACAGTACAATTTCCTTGAGGATCATAGGACAGTATGGGCTTTTAAAATGCTGTTCCTTACATGCTTATATGCTAAACACATTTCTCCATTTGAGATATTACATATGTACAGGCAAATTTCATATATCTTCAGAAATGCCCAGCTAATCAAGGGTCTAAAACAAGGAAATGTATGTGAGTTCAGATATTTAATATCTGTGAAATAGGAACATCTGGCAGAACTTGTAGCAGCCCTTTCAAGGGTGTCAATATTCGCTGATACACATTAGGTTTGTTAGAAAAATCTGCAAGTACATGAACATAGCTGGCCAGTTAATGTTAGCCTTGTTTGGCACTTAATAACATTGTTTTACAAATATAATAATGATGATGATGATAGTTACCAAAGTAGAATATTTATTTCAGAGTTTAACCTGTCCCAAGCTGAGAGAGTGCAAGTTTCAAATAGAGGTCTATCCTGTTCAGATAAATCAAGTGAAATAAAAACCCCTAAAGAATCCAGATTTACCAAATGCCAACTTTGGAGCTTTCATAAGTAGAAAGTTTTACAGCACTCTGGACTAAAAATATTGCAATATTTTCAGTGTGCTTATTGCTGTGCACTTGATCTGTGCTAATTTAACAAATTGTGCTGTACATGTGTGAGCGTGCAATCAGTCCCTCTGTGCTGTTTGTGAAATGATAAAATCAGATGTTTGTGTTAAGAGATGTTGAAACTTGTATTTATGTTTGTCTTCTGGTTGCTTCTTGTTTCACAGAAATTTACTCCCCAAACAGAAGAGCCTTTCATTGGAGCCAGCAGGACGATTAAGGTTCTACTATTTTGCCATAGTCCATTGAGCTTTGACATTTCAGAATCTTCATTCTTCCTTCCTTCCTTTTTTCATTTAACCATTACAGTCATCTTTGTTCTTCATGTGACCTGAACCACCCATCACATAGTTTTATGTTCACTATTTTATTTATTCATGTTTTCTACTTTTTGTTTTTCCTCAACCATTTGTTTTGTGCAGAGTTCGCATGAGACTCTGAACGTAGTGGAGAAGAAGCAGGCAGAGGTTGGGATAGAAGAGACAGTAGTCACTGCCGATACCAACAGAGGCAAAACACAACTTGTCTCTGGTGGTGGGCAAACTCAGAAGATGGAGCACCTATCAAAGAAGGATTCTTCATCACTGTCATCAAGTAGCAGCAGTAGTGAGAGTGAAGATGAAGTAGGAGAATATCAGCCACACCAACGGATGACTCAGGGTGCCATAAAAGAAGAAATAGAAGAAAATGAAGTTATCATAGAGGAGGGAGAACACAATGCACAGGCAACAGTGTGTGCAGAAATTTCACAAGAAGCCAGTCCAGTTCAAGTAACAGTTACGCACATACCAGTGACAGAAACATTGGTCCAGGCGAACGAGGTATCCACCAAGACACCCGGAGAGGGACACCCGGCAAAACTGGATAAGCAAGGCCTGAAAGAAGAGAGGGTGGAAGAGCAGCTCAAAGTAAATGGAGAGGCATCGCATAGTGACATTGATGTTTCACAGCAAATAATTTGTTGCTCCGAGGTAAATGGTAGAAGAGTAAGGGATCCTTTATCAGGCACATCGTCCTAGGGTTCAATATCTCTGCCTTTCTTCTTCTCTGTCCTCTTCAGGTTTTCATAAAGATTCAGATCTAGAAAGTGGAAAATGGATGTGCAGTCAAATTCTGCCTTTGGTTAAGGCTTCTGAATTTTTTACTAGTTTGGTTACCCAGAAGAGCGAACTTGCCTGGGATTATGCCATCTTTTTACTTTCTCATGTTCTGTTTGTTTTGCATGTGTTAATTTGTTTGAGTCTTGTCTTGTCTAGTTTGATTTTTATTATCCTTCAATAAGTTTTAATTGGAATTGTGATGTTACCTATCTTCGGCATGAGATGAAAACGCATTTTATGCATTTGATGTAATAGTCTTAAAACCCAAGTATTTTTTTAATTGAAAAACCCTACCTCCTATCTAAATACTAAAACATAAAGAACCAGAATTTGTAGGAATGCACAGTTGGTGCATTCTATAAATCACCATGAGACACACATACCATATTTACTACTCTTAACCAAAGTCATTTGCAGATACAGTTATTATTTTATGCTAGCCACTTGTAGTCCTTAAGAGGCATGAACTTACTCAGTAGATGCTAAATCAAATTTATTTTCTCTAAGAACATGCAGCATAATGAAGAGCCCGAGAGATGGTAAATGAAGCACAGGTTAAAGGTTCCAATCCAAGTGTGTGTGTGTGTGTGTGTGTGTGTGTGTGTGTGGGTCCTGGCAAACAGCAACTTGGGAGCACAGCAACTAATCAGCTGATATTTCTGGAGGGAAAGACTAAACCCATACCACCTCCATCCATCCATCCACCCCCCCCCCAAAGCTGATCTGTGCTGCTGCTGTTATTCTGTGTGTGTGTGTGTGTGTGTGTGTTTCAAAAAAGACAGAATGGTGCACATAGCAGCTGGACTGGAGGAGGATTCCCAGAGCCACTTGCATGTGCAATTCCTCATCCAGCTAGAGAAATGTGTGTGGAGCACCATAGTTACCTGGAGTGGCTGAGGGCATTTCCACCCCCAAGGTTATTAAATATGGAAACAGAAGATTTGTAATGATGGTCAGGGCCATCTAGGTCAATCTTGTCCCCATTGGCAGGATTTGTCAAGTTTTAAACTGTTTCAAAATGCATTTATGCATTTTATTAAACATAGCCGTATAAGGAGTTGTAGCAAGTTTGTGACACTCAGGAAGTAGTGTATGGAGTTGGTTTTAGGGTGACATCTATTGGCTCTATAAGGGTAGGTCATACCAACGAGATCATTGAATATATATTGACAAGCTTAATAAATAATGGTTCAAACTGTTCGTAAGGGCTGTTTCAGAAGAATTTTATGATGTACTTGCTCAAACCATAAAGTTTGAAGTAGTTACGTATCTTGTTAACATGGTGTACAAGACAGAAACACATAAACGCTGTGGCCATTTGTGGCTCACCTACAGTGAGTATATATTATGTGCATGAAGTTAAAAAAAGCCAGCTTTTAAATCAGACGTAAGCTATGGGTTCAAACAATGGAAAGCTGTGATTGGCCATGGGCTCACCACCGTATATAGATCTCTCATATACCCTGATATTTTTTAAAGCTTTAAATCTTACCAATCTGATTGTATGTTAATTTATTAACCATTTTTATATATGCTACTGATTTAAATTTATATTCATATCTAGCATAGGAAATATACTATGGTGATTTTCAAGTGCTGTCTTATATTAGTAGACAGAACACTTAACATTTCTTGTGTGTTCATGATTTTCAGACTTGGGTTTAGAAGTTCTTCTAAGGAATGTTTAAAAAGTGAATCTAGGATCTTGTTGCCTGAAGCCAGTTCATAGACTGCTATATATCGTGTACTTCAAAATTCATACTCTTCTGTGTCTTTCTAAACACTAGCCTCCAGTGGTTAAAACTGAGATGGTGACCATTTCAGATGCTTCACAGAGAACTGAAATATCCACCAAGGAAGTACCAATTGTTCAGACAGAAACTAAAACGATCACATATGAATCTCCCCAGGTACAGGTGTTGTATAATTTAGAATGCCTTTTTGGGATACAATATTGTAAGCTTGTTGGGAGAGGACAGGTTGCCATATCTCCTTGTGGAAATGATATCTGTATACATACACTGCTTATACTAGGACAATGAACTAATGGACCTCTTTATCTGAGAACATCATTGAGATGCCATCACCTGCCTGAGAAGGGGTTAATAATGACTGAATCATGTTAAATGACATTTAGTACATTGTGTGTTCCAGAATTGTCTACTGCACTTGAGTGGCATGAAAAACACAATCTAGACGTCTTCATTTCTAAAACAGGCAACTTTTGTTTAAAAGAAGGCTGCTAGTTTGGCTTCCCTGTTTTGTCAAAATTGACTATATTGCTCTTTCTTCTTGACGGTGCAGTTTGATGGCAGTGGTGATGCTGGTGTGCTGTTGAGTGCACAGACGATCACTTCAGAATCTCTTTCTACAACCACAACCACACACATCACAAAGGTAAAAAGAAAAACCGTGAGGTTTGCTGTTCTCACCTGTTTTAACAAAACAGGACAGAAGTAGACTGCTCTTATTCAAAATCGGCTGTGAAATGTTATATTATTCCAAGTTTCTGGGCACATTATATATGTACTAATGAAACATTCAGAATTCAAGATTTTGTGACTCGCTTATTTTCTGGAACCTTGAACTTTCATTATATTTAACCTAGGATGATTTATTTTAAGTATGTTTAGGGCAGTTATGACTATCCTAAATGAAGGCATGGACACAGTTACCATTTAGTACCATCTGTTCAACCCTCTCCCCCCTTGTCTTTCAATGCTACTCTAGATTGCAGTGCATAATGGATTTATGCTGCTGATTATTTTGTGCTGGTGGGGCTTTTATATATTCTTTTAGTATTGTTGATCGTATTTGTATTTTACTGAGTTTAAATTGTGACCCACATTTGATTGAGTGGTACTGGAATTTCCAGATAGCGAAGAAGAATGTTGAGTTTTGTGCTGCAGGTGTGTTTTTTCTGTTACACATTTGAATAATGAAAGTATAGAAATAAGTCTTAAGGCCTTAATGTGCTGTGTTTTTTTATCTTCAGAATTGTTACTAAACTGTAAACATTAAAAGAACTAGAAAAAGGTTTTCTGCCTTTCCTGTGTTCAGTTACAAGCTGCTACTTACATTGGAGGATTAAGTAACATATTCCTTGTTCTTGAAATCTTTAGACAGTAAAAGGTGGTGTGTCAGAAACCAGAATTGAAAAGCGGATTGTTATCACTGGCGATGCAGACCTTGACCACGACCAGGTGAGAGACAGACCACATCATATTCTGCTTTCCAATATTTTGCCCCTCATGAGGCAGTTGAGGTTTTTCCCCTGTCAAAAATATTCTATTATAAGAACACGAACAATATTTTTAAAACTCAACCACCTCATGATGTAAATCGCTAACCATCACTGAATTACTGTAATTATAATCTGCCGTTTTTACTATGTGGTGCTGCACTGATTCTTAATTGATGGTAGGTTCACAATTTAACAGAACAGGGATTTAATTTTCATTTCTTAATTGTAATGTACCAAGGACTCTGAGTAAATTTAATTTCAGATTTTGATGTGCCTGTAGCAAGTGGCTTGTGACAAGTTCAATCTCTCCTTCAAGCCTGAAATTAAATGACAGAGCTGTTTAGCATTAGGCATGAGGGATGTCTGTCCCAGCACATGCTAAAATAAAAAACAAAAACATACAGCTGGGGAATCTGGAAAGGTCAGACAACAGAATTGCTTAAAAAAATTCATATCTCAGTATACTCTTCTTAGGATAAATATTATAAAGCCTTAAAGTAAACTTTTTAGAGATAGATTGTATGCATCTGTTTGTAACACAAGATCTTGTTCAGCTTTATAAATGTCTGAGTTTTTAATTTATGTAAAACATGTGCTCATATTCAGATGTAAATTCCAGCATTATTTCAGTAGAATTAGGATCTGTAGTGACCCTTTAAAATGGAAAATACACTCGATAAGAACAAAATACTTCTATTTTTCATATTTGAACCCCTGAATTCTTCAGTTTGAACAACCCTGATATGTCATTCTTCTAAATACAGTTCAATACAGCTTAGAAATAAAGTATTTGTCTGAAACCATATCTAGGAACCTTGAAAACATTATTCCTTAAAACCATTTTTTTCTTGCCTATCCGGTCTTGTTTTCAATTTTATTTCTCTGTATTCTGAAGAATAACTCTTCCATGCTCGAGTACTAAATAAAGTATAGGCAAAGCAAAATAGTGTATGCATTTACTTAGCCATTTATTGTTAAGCCCTGAAGGTTATATATTTAAAAACTGATTGCTATTTATTTTGGTTTATGTCTCGAGTTTCCAGTGTGCATCTGTCAAGGCAAAATCGCCACTCTTTTTGTTTACCTCTGAACTGTGTTTTGAAAAGATCTTTAGGGAAAAGTTGCTAATTGCCCGGTGCTTACACTTTCCACATCCTACATCAACAAGGTGTGGAAGGAAGCTGACAGGTGCCTCCTGGCAGAACTATCCATTACCTTGCGAAACATATATTCCCAATCCTACAATTGCTGTAGCAACTGTGGTAGTGGTGGGGGTGAGAATCAGTTGTCAAGGAGACTTGATGGGGAATCTGGTGCCCACTGATTGTTTTCTCCATCCTTGGTCATTTTCGCTTGGTTTGGGTTTCTTTTCTGAGTCCAGCTGGTTTTCTGTGGGAAGGAGGGGATTTTAAAAGCCAGTTAGGGCATTTGAAAGCAGAATTGATGAATGAGGGAAACATTAAGCACCATCCTCTTTGCCCACTGATTCCCCTCAGCAAATTTCACCCTCTCCACCCTACATTAGTGTTGCTGTGGTCTTGCGTACTCAGTCACCGGTGAATACATAAGCTACTGTTCTTGGCAATTAGGTTTGATACTGGTCAGTGTCTTGCAGCTGGTTTTCTTACCTGAATTGGTATCTTCCAACATTGTGTGCAAGATATATGCCAAATATCAAAGGACCTGTGCCCACAAATGAGCCTCCTGTCACTGCATCAACACAAGGCTAAAATAAAAGCATGTGTGAAGTGTTGCACACACACAAAAAAACCTAATTCCACGCTTACTCTGATTGCGACTGCACCAGTGGCAGCCCACCAGGAAAGAGGTCTTGGCATTGTGGTGGACAACTTGATGAAAATGTCAACCTAGTGTGTGGCAGCTGTGACGAAAACTCAGATTCCATGTTGAGGGGAATTAGGAAAGGGTTTGAAAATAAAACATGATAGAGGGGGGTAAAATTATGTATAGGGCAGAAAAGATGAATAGAGATAAGTTCCTGTCCCTTTCTCATAATACTAGAACTTGGGGTTATTTAATGAAGCTGAATGTTGGAAGATTTGGGATAAACAGAAGGAAGTGATACACACGACACATTGTTAAATTGTCACAGTTAGTACCACAGGATGTAGTAATGGCCACCAACTTGGATGGCTTTGAAAGAGGGTTAGAGAAGACTTGTCAGTGGCTACTAGCCATGATGATTATGAACCTTCTCCAAGGTTGTATTCAGCTAAGTTTTACTCATAACAGACCCATTGAAATTAATGAACCTAACGAAGTTAAGACATAGCTAAGTGAGATGGGTGTTGAATACCTCCTCTAGTATTGGAAGCAGTATTCCAGTTGTTGTGGTGGAGAACGTTGTTGCGCTAATGTCCTGCTTATGGGCTTCCCATAGACACCTGATTAGCTACTGTGAGAACAGGATACTGAAATAGATGGTCTTTTGGTCTGATCTAGATGGACTCCTCTTACGTCCTAATGCTTGTATGTTGTTGCAGCAATAAAACATTCCTGTCTAGATATTATATTGATCCAAATAGCTCACTATGTGGATCAATATAAAGATGTGGTGTGCTTTAAAAAGTTTTTCTGTTTCTTACCTTTTCTGGAGTTTTTATTATTAGTGCTTTCTTAATGTTTTGGTGAAAAACTGCATTGTGAGGTCTGCCAGAAAAGGAGGATCTAAATGCTTTAGATAAATATGTAAGATACCAAAACGTAGTTTACAGCTCTTAACTTAAAATACCCAGTAGCCTCTCTAGGATTTTAATTTGGCTGTCTCAGTAATGGAGGAGCAGCATTCTTCCTCTGTTCAGTTATCACTTCTGAACAAAATCAGTCCAGGAAGTGTAGTCATTACTGGCCAAACTACCTCATAATTTTGATTTAATGGGTCCTTTTTAATACTTACGTAGGCATTGGCACAAGCCATTAAAGAAGCCAAAGAACAGCATCCTGACATGTCTGTAACAAGAGTTGTGGTGCATAAGGAAACAGATCTTCCGGAAGGAGGAGAATAAGGTAAGAGCCTGAGACAAGACCTGATACAAAACTATTATCCTCCCAGGTTAATAATAATAATAAATTTTATTTATATCCCGCCCTCCCCGGCCAAGACTGGGCTCAGGGCGGCTAACATCAAATATATAATACATTAAAACATAAGATCAAACAATCGGTTGAAATACAGCTTAAAATCAGATTACAATCTGAATAAAATCAGATGCCAACCCACGAATTAAAACTATAACGATGGGGTTGGGAACATTAAGTGTTCACCAGGCGCAGCTATTTGTGCTGATCATATGAGCCAGTGAGAAGGGTTAGAGGGGCCCTTTACATGCAAGGTCTTGTAAAAAAGGTCCCAGACTGGATCTGGGCCAAAGACCTGGTGGAACAGCTCCATCTTTCAGGCCCTGCAGAAAGATGTCAAATCCCGCAGGGCCCTGGTCCCTTGCGGCAGAGCGTTCCACCAGACTGGGGCAGGGCCGAAAAGGCCCTTGCCCTGGTCGAGGCCAGCCTAACCTCCTTGAGGCCTGGGACTGCCAAGGTGTTATTTGTGGACCATAAGGTCCTCCACAGGACATACCAGGAGAGGCGGTCCTGTAGGTACGAGGGTCCTAGGCCGTATAGGGCTTTAAAGGTTAAAACCGGCACCTTAAACCTCGCCCTATAGTCCACCGGGAGCCAGTACAGCTGGTGTAGCACTGGATGAATGTGATCCCATGGCGAGGACCCCGTAAGGAGCCTCGCCGTGGCATTCTGCACCCGCTGGAGTTTCTGGGCCAGCCTGCATAAAGTGAATTACAATAATTGAGCCTGGAGGTAATCATCACATGGCTCACAGTGGCAAGATCAGGGCAGGAAAGGTAAGGGACCAACTGCTTGGCACGGTGGAGATGGAAAAATGCCGCTTTTGCTGTAGCTGTGATCTGTGCCTCCATGGAGAGGGAGGCGTCGAAGGTTACGCCCAGACTCTTGACTGAAGGTGCTGGTACTAATTGCGCCCCTGCAAGGGATGGGAGTTGGTGCTCCAACCCCATGTCGTCTCAACCCAACCAGAGGACCTCTGTCTTCGAAGGATTTAACTTCAACTGGCTCCCACGCAGCCAAACATCTGGTCAGTGTGTCTGGGGCTGAGTCAGAATGGCCACCCATCAACAGATAAAGTTGGGTGTCGTCAGCGTATTGATGACAGCCCAGCCCGAAGCTCTGAACAAGTTGGGCAAGCGGGCGCAGAGAGATATTAAAAAGCATCGGGGAGAGGATTGTACCCTGTGGCACTCCACAGACCCAAGGGGTTCCGCAACGACAATTCCTCCCCTAGCGCCACCCTCTGTCCCCGACCTGAAAGGAAAGAGCACAGCCATTGTAAGACTGCCCTGGCTGCTGCTACCAAGCACCTGGAACCCCTATTTGAATGTTCTTTACCACAAATAAATGCATCTTTTGTGATTCTGTCTGGAATCAGATCTAGGGCATAATGTTTTGGACCTTCCAGTTTTGAGTTTTGTTCGGAAGAAGAGCACAAAGGGAAAGCAGAAAGGCATGGCTGAGACTGTAGGCCTTTTGAATGCTAATGGTGATGCATTAGGAGCTATTTGCATTATGAGAGAGAGAGAGTTCCTTAGCTACCTCCTTGAAAAATGAAGGAAAACTGCTCTTCTGAAGAGGGAGGTCTGATGCCACTTAAAATAAGAAAAATGTAGCGTGTGACTGACTTGAAAAAGGAACATTACTCGAAGAAAGCTGTAATATGGTTGAGAGTGTTTTTAATAGTATTCAAAATCTGTGACTAAATGTAAAGAATGACATTAAACTGCTTGCCTTTCTTTAGAATTCTGAAGACTGATTTGTGACCGAAGAACTTTGATCATTCAAGTCGGTGTCCCCACCGCTACTTCACTGACTTCACCAAGCCTGGTGACAATGGCCAGACATTTCCAGAACAAACTGCCGACACCAAAACTTATCTTCTCTGGTCCTTTACCATATATGTCTCTTATTTTTATAACCACTTCTTAACATTCTTGGCTTTTTATGAGGTTTAGAGATTTATTATTTTTTCCACATTTCCCTGACATTTTATATAACTGATTTCTTGATTGCATGAAAGTGAACAAAAATATTTAGTAAGCACTTTTCACTTTAGCAAGTGCAGGAAGGAAAGAATCTTTCACTAAGTCTTTTCAAGATGTTTCCAAATAAAGCCTCTTAATGGGATAACAGCTTTTTTCAGATTATTCAGGTAAATAAAACATCAAATAATATAAGAAATACATTATCTTGTATTAAAATAAAACACAAAGCTTTCCTATGACCTGGTGGGGAAAATAAATTAAGATTTGTATGGATGTTGTACAAACTCCTTATAGTCTGTTCTGAGGATCTCCCACTTTCTGAAGGGAACTGGTGCTGGTATACTATAGAAGAGATAGTTATAAAGATGTTTCTACTGACTGAGCACTGTTTTAGTAACTTCTCTGCACTTCAGTGCCATTGTTCAATTTCTTCGTGGACACTTTGGTCTGCAACATTCCAGACAGGATAGGAAGGACTTTGCTCTCTTCCCTTCTGGCAAAGATAATCCAGGCAGCTTAAAACCTTAGTGCTTTTCTCTTAACATGTTAAATGTCAAACACTTTGATTATATGAATACATGTGCAGAATGCTTGCATTACATAACTCATTGTCTACCTGTTATAACTGACACGTCTGTTGAGCAGTTGTCTTTAAGTAGTTCGCCTGATGTACTTGTACAGGTTTTCAGGACATTGAGGGACTGGGGGGCAGCCAAGGACCCATTGTAAGTAGTATGGGAACCAACTGCTGAGTGAGGCTGCTAGTCACTGAGGAGGTCTATATGAATACCTGCTAACTGTCTCTTTCCCACATACTTCACTGTTCACCTTGTGTATAGTTAAGATGCCATATTAAATTTATAGCAGCTTGAAGTTGTATTAAGTGATATTTTGCTTTCTGTAATACTGTTATAAAATAAAGTTTCTTTATTCTCTAAATGTTTCAGCACATTTGTATTTTGACACCTCAAAAAAAAAATCAGTTTTGAGCCTCTTTCTCAACATGGTTGAAAGCATTTCAGGAGGGTGGGATGTCTGTTAAAACAAGACTTGTTGATTTTATGTAACCTAATAACATTCCTATAGCAAGAGGCAGCCTGGTTTTGTTCCCCCTGCCTATCCAGCCCAGTGGGGAAGAGTCATGCTGTTAACTGAATGTCTTCCTAGAGATCAAGTTGCCCAACTCCCCAACTGCTCCCTGAAACTCCACTACTACAGCGTCCCCAACAGAGAATCGTAGAACAATCTTGCTACTGTAATGCCATTAGCAAGTGTTCTTCAATGCAGCAATGCCATAATCACATCATAGACGAAATCTCAGTAGCAAGAAGAACTGTCTTTCGCCAGCAAATTTCAATTCATTTTGAGTACAAGGTTCCTACCAAACCTCTTTGCTTTAGTTGAAAGTGTTGCAAATCTGCAATTTCCAAAACAAACACAAAACCCTATACAAGCCCTAAGAAATGCATTAGTTCTAAATAATGTCATCAGGTACAAGCACTATTATACTCTCTTGTACAAGAACAACATTTCACTGTATTTCCAACATTTGTGACTGCAGAGAGATTTTTTTAAGTGGTAGAGAAATGGAAGAAAAGTCCAGTTTTCCATTTTGTGCACAATTATTTTTGCATGAAAACATTTTCTGAAAACATTTTCTGCTGTTGATTATTTTGATTCCTAATATAAAGTTAAAATCCAGGCCCATTCATTTATACCTTTTTAAAAGAACAAATTGTTTCAACTTCCCTCGCACATCTACCCCCAGTTTTTGCATAACATTAAACAGCTATTAAACTTCTGGAGTAAAGAGCCAATGTTAAACTATGTATCTGGAAGTTACCAATTTCTTAGGATGATCTTGGTTTCCTTTTACCGTTTCCCCGTTTGTAGTATTTGGCATAGGCTTCAATGGCAGCAGCATCAGGGGGGTTATGCATTATGTAGAGCTCCTGGTCCACTGAAAAGGATAAGCACACTGTGTTAGTTTGCAGCAGCTGCTGAAAGGCGACCAGCAAGATAAAATTTTCCTCTCAGCAGTAGGAGCTTCATGCTTGTGTTCATTTTTTTTATACACAAATGAAAAATAAATTTCATACTATTATAAATTTATTTATACCCCGCCCTCTGGCGTTCTCATGGAGGAGACACACAAAGTAGGGCCTGAGATAATAACCGCAGGGGTCTCGGTCAGTTAATATGCTAGTTCTTGAGGTACTGTGGTCCTGAGCACCAGCACTTTGAATTGGGCCCGGAAACTAATTGGCAGCCAGTGCACTTTGGCCAGGATTGGTGTTATATGCATGGATGTAGCCGGGGGGGGGGGCAGTAAAAGGCAGTAAAACAATAGAAATACTTAACCAACTGACCAGTCACATTGGTCCTGCCCCCCCCCCAAATCCTGCCTACCCCCATGGTTATATGCTCAGTCTTGGCTGGTGAGCAACCAGGCTGCCAAATTCTACACCAGCTGAAGTTTCTGAACTGTCTTCAGAGGCAACCCTATGTATAATGTGTTGCAGTAAGCCAACGGCAGTGATGCCATTTGAACCAACAGAAGCTGCTTTTTAACTTCATCAGTGGCCTGGAGTTAAGGGTGAGCAGTGAAGTAACCAAGCTTGCTGATGACACACAATTTATCAGAATGGCAGAAACAAAAGGGAATTGTAAGGAGCTCTTGTAAGAGATCTTTCCATGCTGGGTGACTAGATACTAAAATGGCAAATGAAGTTCAAATCTAAGCAAGCGTCAAGTGATAAGAAATCAGGCCATATAAATAAATAAATCCCAACTTTGCAAACTCACAGGATTCACTGCCTAGGACAAAGACCTTGATCACTGTGCTCTAAGGAGAAACTGTCACCATCCAGCTCCCAGAATGGCCCTCCCCCAACTGCCACCCCCAAGGCCATCTGAAGGACCGTTTTGCGCTGAGGGAACAAGAAAGAGTAACATGTTCCTCTAAGCAAGTTGCCTTTTACATTCTTCTGTAACTTAAAAAACCGGATGCTTATTGTTGTCATAACCTTCGGGGAATCACTTTGTGAGGGCCTCCTGAGGAGTGCTATGCAAGAAGGAAAGGAATAGCCATATCTAAATGCAACAGTGAAATTGGGCAAGTGCCGGATAGCTTTCGGTACTGATTTATGGACTTTCCCAAAGCAATTTCATTTCAAATGCATCGAGAAAATTTTTTGCCAAACTTGAAATAGAGCTGGACAAAATCAAGCCAGGCTGCTTGGGAGACCCAAGACATAGAAATCCTGTACCTTGCTTACACACACACACTCACGCACACACAGAGCTATTACTTGCCATTGTCTTACTGCTTGATGCTCAGATCTGTTCAGCTCTATTTGGGGTTTTTTTTTTGGGGGGGGACTGGTTCTGAAGCAGTGCTGTATCCCACCCACCAGTACCCTTTCAATACTGGCAATCTACGCCATACATTATCAGTAGGAAATCAAATATATTTACTGGCCTTTGCCTGGGGAGGTGCGCTGAGGATAATATCAGTTTCTTACAGTACAGCAGGAGATTAAGTGTTGTTTCGAAGGAACAACTAGTTCTAATTACTGTATAGGTTAAATTCAGAGTGTTCTGCTTTATTATTAGTTATGCCTACCTGCCCACCTTTCAGAGCCCTGTAGTGGCTGACTCACCCTGTCGTAGCTTAACCCTCAGGTAGGCAATGAGCAGGAGCAGGAGCAGAATCACCGGCAGGAAAATTCCCATGAAGAGAAGCCATCCAGGCAGCTCCCTGACAAAAGCTGTCAGGGTGTACACCACAGCCTGACCCATCGCAAGTAGGCTTTGTGTAGCTGTGCACCTTGTTCTCCTCTGTATTTTGTTGCTCCTGCTGCATGGCCTTTGCTCGGCCCATATTAACTTCTTTTCCTTCTGGACTTTGCTTTGTTTGCACAAGCCTGTGATTTCTAATGTGAGGGCCAGCACGTTAACAGAGCTAACTCGGCTGCAAAGTTTAGAAGGGCAGATTGAAATGGCACATAACGGCCTTGACTGCAGCTAAACTGAGAATAAGAGGGGCTTTTATAATTTATCTAGTCAACTCTTTATTTGAAATACCTGCATGCCAGCAGGCTAAGAGATGATATATAAAGCATTTCAGGCATTTCTGTTTTTTTCTTCCGCACTTGCGTTGTGTTAAATTTGCTTTGCATGATGCACAGGAAAGTGGGGAGAGTACTGATGTCTGTCTCTCCCATGGTTCCAGAAGTGTGGGGATCTTGCAGCCCTAGAATATTATCAAGGATGTGAGTTTAAGGTTTGGTGCTGGTCTTCAGCCAATGGTTAGGGAGTTGGAGTCCAGCAACAACAGGAAAAAATCTCTTGTGTCCCATCCTCTAAATTCCTCTAGTCTCCTACTTAAAGGTTCTTTGCCAATGAGAAATGATGCAAGCTGGTGTCTATATTTTGTAAAGTGCATTTTCTCCACTGAGCAGCTATTAAAAATCATCACATCAATCCTGCTCCTGCTTACTAAGCTGAGATCAATTCTTTGCCAATTCTCAGACTGTAGAATACAAAACAATCTGGCCATGTCAGGAATAATGCCCTTCCTGATCACACAAATGAATGTATAGAAGACTTAGAAGTGATAGATTTGATGCATTGCACCTGAATTCTCATGTGTATGAATGTTGGTGGCAAGCTACTCCTTTATACACAAATTCCCCTTTCCTGAACACTTTCCTGAATCCTCCTTTATTCAAATCACTTCTCAAAACCTGCTTTCTGTGATACTCAAGCCTCACCTGCAACCTAAATGAAGCCTGAGGATACACCACTGTATTTACTCATGTTCATCTTGTTATCCCTCTCTCTGCTGCTGCTGCTGCTGCTGCTGCATTTGTCTCTTTCTTCCTACCCTCGCACTCAACTCTGTCTAGACTTTGCCTCTGGCTAACAGAAGGGCTCCTTCCATCTGCAGATGACTCTGATTCCAGCTGTGAAAACCTGCAGACAGAAGCAATAACCCACACCCACCCAAAAAAGAAAAATCTCTGGCAGGTTGGGGAAGCCCTGGAACAACACAGAAGGTGGCACTGGAAGCTGCAGAGGGAATATTAATAAAGAGGGCTAGGATTGAACAAACATATGCACATATATACACTGATCTACGTATAACTTACGCTCTCTGAGTGAGCAGCACCCTGCTTTCTTAAATTACTCTGTAAAGTACTATGTGGATAATGCTCTATTTGGCTTCTTCTATTGTTGTTTCTTGGGTTCCATGATCACTGCAGATGGTGACAGCAGTCATGAAATTAAAAGACGCCTGCTTCTTGAGAGAAAAGCAATGACAAACCTAGACAGCATCTTAAAAAGTAGAGACATCACCTTGCCAACAACGGTCCGTATAGTTAAAGCTATGGTTTTCCCAGTAGTGATGTATGGAAGTGAGAGCTGGACCATCAAGAAGGCTGACCGCCGAAGAATTGATGCTTTTGAATTATGGTGCTGGAGGAGACTCTTGAGAGTCCCATGGACTGCAAGAAGATCAAACCTATCCATTCTGAAGGAAATCAGCCCTGAGTGCTTAATGGAAGGACGGATCCTGAAGCTGAGGCTCCAATACTTTGGCCACCTCATGAGAAGAGAAGACTCCCTGGAAAATACCCTGATGTTGGGAAAGATGGAGGGCACAAGGAGAAGGGAACGACAGAGGACAAGATGGTTGGACAGTCTTCTCGAAGCTACCAGCATGAGTTTGACCAAACTGCGGGAGGCAGTGGAAGACGGGAGTGCCTGGCGTGCTCTGGTCCATGGGGTCACGAAGAGTCAGACACGACTAAACAACAACAACATTGTTGTTGCATCCTTGACTGAGTGAACAATGCTCAGAAGTATGTAGCAAAGGTGTTGGATCATGAAAATGGTGGTGGCAGAGGAGACAAGGCCAGAAAATAAATGAGTGTCATCAAATGACAACATGGGCGCAAGGAACAATACTAACAGTGAACAGGAAAGATTAACAAACTGCGGGAAGCATTTGTCCTTCCTTTTTATGAGATTTTAATAAGAAAGTTGGGATATTGTGGGTGGTATCCAACACTGCAGCTTGGCTGTCACAATGGACTTCTGCACCCACAACAGAACTGCTTCTCCCCTTCCAGCCCCGTGAATGCTTCCAAAATCAGCACTGGAGGATTAGGGACCCTTTGGAGCAGTATGAGGGGATGGGCAGGGGAAGAAGATGAAACAGAAGTGCTATTGCGCCAGGGGAGCTGAACACACACAGAGAACATTGGATGCAACCCTCTGAATTTCAGTTGCATGAACATAAAGCACGGGTGGACTTAGGTAATATGGCTCCCTGAGCTAGGACAAAATTCCCTCCCCTCCCCTCCCCTCATAAATTCTTATTTTCACAATAGTTCCTTTTAATACAGTTGCTTTTATGAATCTTCTCAGCAGGCACTCATATAAATATTATAATTATGAGCCCCATTTAGCTTTGCGCCCTGTACAGGGGAACCCCCCCCCCTTAGATCTGGCACTGCATAATGTTCAGTCAGCACTCAGCACTCAGCACTCTCAAAAGCCAGGGTTCAACTATGGACCAGTGGAACAATCATACACTGAATACCTCTGCACATGTTCAGAGTGCATTGTCACCTCTGCACATGTTCAGAGTGCATTGTCCTGCCAACTGAGAAATTTCAGGCTTTAAAAAAAATAATGAAGAAAATCTGGGCATCCAACCATTTCCTCAGTGGCCTCTCTAAGATGTGTGTGATATAAGAAAAGCAGGTGTTTGCAGAAATGATGGTGTTTGCAGGGCTCAGAATAATTTTAGATTTTGCAGTGGAGTTTGAGTAAGGCATGAAACGTCCCCATATTTCAATCCACAACTGTGTGGGGTAATCCATCACTGGCTTCCTCAGACTAAGCTAGAGTAAACAAGAAAGTGATACCAGTTGGCAGGAAAGGAATGTGGGTCATCAACAAAATACAGCACCCCATTAGTGTGAAAAGCTGGTGTGTGTGAGTCAGCCATATAACAGATGATCTGACATTCTTCCATTGCTTGGTGCAGATAGTCCGTGCTATGAAACAGATTTCTCCTGTTTACTTTGGCCTTCTGATTTGGCAATAACATAGATTTTATTTTTGGACAGTGTAGTATTTTACCCACCCTAAATCCGATAAAGAACTCCGTATTGGTCGAAACTAAAAATGACTGCCCTTCACTTTCAAAGAATCATTAAGAAAGCATGCTGTGCTTAGGGCTTCGTTAACTTTTAGGACAAGTGTTGTCTGTTGTCGTTATCTAGGGTTGTGTCCATATGGGAGCTTCCCCGCTGCCAGTTTGTTATCTTAGCATACAGTAGTAAATGCACACAGCAGCACCAGAAAAATAATTCAGTACCAACAAGCAATTTAACACTACAAACAAATAATACATTAGCACAGTAAGACGGGTCAGTGGCAAGTTCTAAAATTACATAGTAAATAAAGCAGGCGTACTTATATGGCAGTAGGTAATCATTAAAGTAAACTAGCCTTTGGTAATTTCAGACTTTAAAGGCCAAAATCAGCCCTTTGAACTGAGAATGGAAGGAAACAGAACTGCCAAAGGATCTGAGCTATATGTTCTGACCAGTGGATGCCATACAAAGCAACACCTGGTTCAACCTGAGGTTTGCATTCCCTTCTGAGCAACCTTCTGGGGCATATGCCCCTGGTGGGCGGGGCCAGGAGCAAAAATGGGTGAACAGTGAATATACAGTTCACCTTTGCACAGCAAATTCTTAAACACATAACCTCATTATCCTCCAGGCAAGCAAACGTAATCATCAGACTCCAAGGACACATTCCAAGCAGGCAAAGATGCCTTAGGAGGCCTGCATTTGGCCTCTGGACCCGAGGTTATCCACCCCACGCTAGCAGGAGAAAGGGGGACTACAGGAGACACTCTAATGGCCCAGCTCAGAGACCACCAACTGTTGGTTCCTCTCTTCTTTGAACACTTTTCATTCCAGCTGATGATTTTAAGAACCCTGTAACTAAGAAGTAGTGCTTGAGTTTGCTTCGCCCCTCTTCCCTCCCTGCTCCTTTTCCTTTGGTGTCATGCCTTTCAGATAGTAAGCAGTGTCTCATTACCAGGAGTCTTTTTTTTCCTGACAGAACACCAGAGGGGGAAAAAAATGCTCCAAACCTGAGTTTGCTTTTTATCAGTTTCAGCAGCCTTTGTAGGAGATATGAAGTATAGTACATCATCCTTCTGGTGTACCTGGAAGTAAGTCCTGATAGTCCAGTCCCAAGGACAACACTGGAGAGTAGTCAGACTATCCAAATGGTCAAATACCAGTCCAGGTCCAAAACAAGCAAGGTCTGAAGTCAATCCTGAAGGTCAGGTTCCTGCCTTGGCAGAAGATCCAGAGCTGGAACACCTGGGGGTCAGTCTCAAAGTCCCAGTCCAGTGGTCATCCCAAGGCAACCAAACTGTGGCCCATCATCAGAGAAAACTAAGCAGACACAGAGCTTCTGACTTGCTTCCCTTCTACCCTTCCCAATCTTGATTGCTGCACCTGAGTTTGCTCCAGCTGAGCAGCTGTGTCTCTCCACTTGACGAAGCATGTGATCTTCCCCTGCCCTGAGCCTCATCCAGCTGAGTGACCACAAACTTCTTCTCTGACCTAACGAGCCTCATGATCTCCACCTGGTCCACTAGTGAGCTGAGTTGTTTTCCCTTGCCTGCCTTATTCTCCTGGAGTGCTCCTCCTGCTGTTTCCGATCAGAGGCTGCCATGTCCACGGAGACGCCTCTGCTTCCGGTGATGTGTCACCCATCCCTAGCTGCCCTGAACAGTTAGCTGCTCCTGCAACATCCTCTGATGTCCTGTGAGTACCTCCTAAGTCCCCAACCTCCCCTTCTCTGTCTCCAGCTTCTCCCAATGTGTACCAATCATGGCTACATCCCTCACCAGAATCCTCTTCCCTTTCCTCTGTTGTCCTGCCAGTTCATGGCATTCTGTGGGTTTCTTTACCCTTTCAGACTCTGAAACTCACCTGTGGATTTCCAGGAGGTCTATGCAGAAGTAAAGTGTGTGCTGGATAGCTTATTTGTATCTGAGGCACTGAAGAACCTTGCCTGAGTGCAATGGGAGGCTGTTTCTACATAGGAACTCCAAAAATTATTATTATTGTATTGGGAAGTTTTTAATGTTTTATGTTATGTTTTTATGTGTGTTGGAAGCTGCCCTGAGCGGCTGGGGCAACCCAGCCAGATGGGCAGGGTATAAGTAATGAAAGTATTATTATTAATTTATTTATTAGTCTGCTATAGCTTGCTAAGTGGACCTTTCCACTTTTGGGGCAGTCTTTCATCCTTATAGTTGTTTGTCCTTATAGAACTTCTTGGACAGCTAGCGAGCAAACAGTTTTGTTTCATCTGAGAAAGGAAGTGGAATGCATCAAGAATGTGTCTCTGCGGCAAACTCAAATAGTTTTTGAGGTTATGTGCACCATGCAAACAGGATTGTGCTCAAGACTGTCTTTATTGTTAGGCAGGATGACAGGGTCCATCTCAGGTGGCAGCTTTCTGAGTCCCATTACAGGGACTGTTATTTTGTTACTTTTTTTGTTTTGTTTTATCCTCCTAAAAAGGCTAGCATTTGGATTTTCTGCTTCAGTGCCAAAACTGTCTTGGGCAGTTTCTGGATAGGGTGTCCAAGTGTGGATTGTGCAAAGTGTGTGTGGGGGGAGACACTCTACATTTTCTCTTTGCTCATGTAACTGTAACTTTCAAATCCTCCTTTCTGTGTCTGCAAAGCAATGAGAGGCGACTGTTTGCATATGTCCAAGACTTGGCTCATCTTGTTAGTCTCAGTGAGGAAAATGCTTTTTGGCACTTATCCTTTCCAGGTATAATGTGGCATGAAATAAAAATGGCATTTGGCATTCATCATAGCCTGCCATTCATTCCTCGTGAATGCTAATTTAATTTACCACCATTTCACCCTTTTGTGCTGCAATTCTGCATCGTAATGAGGTTCAGCCATCTGCCTGCTCAGCGCAGTTCTTAACCTGGCAGGAAAGATGCACTTTGAGTTCCATGCCATTATGGGGACCTTCCTCCTCCGCAGTAACCTTGGCATTAATGAATGCCCAACTGCAGCCTGCCTTTCTTCTTGTGATTTGCAGTCCAGATTTTGAGCTTACACTGGGTGGAAACTGTAATTCTTCCAGAGGAATACTGCATCCCAAATATGTCTTCGACATATTCCTTAGGCAATTCCCAAACATATTATAAAAACGAAAGTTTTACCTCTGGGTTGGTTCCAAAATGTTGGTTTTTGGGGAGATTCAGTCAAAATTCAACAAAAGTAAGATACAAATGTTAAGCAACCGATTTGTCGAATTCACACAACCTTCCAAGCCACAGATAGGGAAACAGTGGCACCCTAGATATTGTTGGATTATAGCTCCCATCATTCCTGATCATTGGCCAGCAATGCTGACTTGGGCTGATGCAAATTGGGACTCCAGAAGCATCAGGAGGGCCGCAGCTTCCCCTGGTCTGTCCCACCAACATAATCTTATAAGTCAGCAGGGCAAAAGGAAAAAAAGAAATTAACCAAGAGAGTTTGGAGAGAGCGGAGACTGTAAATGAAGCATGGACTGATGAATGCAGTGTGCAAGCCTTTAAATAGTCGGGCAAATGTAATCAAAATTTAATTAAAACTGGACACGCTAGCAAGCAGCCTGGAAACAAGATGCATTATAATAAGGCTGGTGTGCTGGTGGAACAGAACAGATCTTTGCAATGTGGTGCTTCTGAATGGAACAGCAAATGCCCACAGATCAGGCAAGAAGGCATCAAAATGAAAACTGCTTAGAGGCAAAAGCTCCCTGCTTAGGGAATCTAGCCTGATGGTGCTCTGTGGGTCGGCTGTGGCATCTCATTTTGCTTCTTCCTCACAGTCTCTGGAGCTTCAGGCGCTTCCAAGTTGTGTGACTATGGATGACTCATGCCCTCCTAATTTTTTTTATTTAAATAACCACCCCTTTGACTTGTTTTGATATCAATAGGCTTCTGTTGACACACACATGGTGAGAGCAGGTGTCTACCAAAGCCTTAGGCATCCCTTCCATTTTCCTGCTTTGCTTATCAATCTGGTAACAAGCCACCTTGTAACATTTCAGTGGTCAGACGATGGAGAATCCCAATTTTATTGTTGCTCATTTTCTTCAGAACTTGAGGCAGCTAGTGCTTCTTTCTGTCTCTCATATGAAAGCTTCTTTCGGAGGTTTGGCTCGTGTTTTCTCTTTCCCAGGTATCAGTGCTTAACAATCTCCTCTTCTAGGTTGTGCCTTTCTACTTTCCTGGTTTGCTCTTATGTTGTGGGTAAGGATGGGAGAAAAATTCAGTTCACTTCGCATGAAAAAGCGAACCTACTTAATTCAAACTTCCTGAAACCATGTATGAACCAAAATGCATTCATCCTTTGAAAAGTGCGCTTCACTGAATTATGTGGCGTAGTTCTGCAACCAAACAATGTATACAAAATCCACAAGTTTGCATAAGAATGCACACAGTATTGAAAATAGTGTGCAAAAAGGCATTACATTGGAAAAATGTGCATATTGGGACAATTGTTTACGAGGACTTTTAAAAAAAGAATTGGCAAATTGATGTGAAAATGTGGAGATCTGAGATGGGAAATATGAGGAACTGTGAGAAACCAAAATTAACATATTCGTCCATCCCTAGTTATGGATGTATGCAGCCTATGCTGGGTTTTGACATTTCAACAGTCTAGTACTTGTTAAGGATATGTTGAGAGTTTGCAGCCTCACCTAGGGTAGATCATAGAAGAAGTTAAGAAGAGCCTGCTGGATCAGGCCAATGGCCCATTCAGTTCAATATCCTGTTCTCATGGTTGCCAACCAGATGCCCATGGGAAACGGACCCGAGCACAAGAGCACTCTATTTTCCTGCTTTTTCCAGCAACTGGTATTCAGAAGCATACTTGCCTCCAAAGTAGCAGCATTGTGACATCTACTGTCAAAATGGCAGCACTAAGAGTGTGTGTGTCCCCAAATGAATGTCTGAAAAGTTTGAAGACTACTCTAGCTAAGCCCAGAATGTGATTTTGATGAGAATTGCCCCCTGACTGTATGAAAAGTGACATTTCCACAGCAAATTTGGAATTTCTTACTAAGGAAAATAGTCTGAGGAACTGATCACTGGTAGCGATGTGATGATTCATAGGCTTGGACTGTTAAGGGGCATGTACCAGTCTTTTGTCTTTCACCTTCTTTGTTTGTTAGAGTTCTTTCTGGATTTCCTTTTTGAGAGCCTTGTGTATGAGAGCAGCCTGCTAATGCCCTGCTCCCTGACACTACGCACACATTTGCGTCGCATTGGAGATGCTAGCAACAGAACATCAGAGGGAAGCTCTGCTTGGGGGTTCGATGCTAATAGGCTGCAATTTCACAAGAAAGCTGCATTTGGCAACATATTGCTGGCCTTGCTTGTGCTTTCAAAAGCAAAGTGATGTACAATGGCCATATCATGGATCTTTGCAGCCTCTGTTCACTTTACAAAGCACATTTCTAAATTAAGCCTTTCAGCATACCCCTTTCTGAGCTGATTCAGTTGTAACAGTCCTGAGAGGCAGATTTCGCTTTCGCTTCTTCCTAACAAGGAGTTCAAGATGCTGTGCAACGGTTTTGTCAAAAGGTGAGATAGCTTTCTCCCCTTTCCATCCAGTTACCTTCTCACATTAAGAACAAGTTCGAACGGTTTTCAGAGGCAACCTATCATTTATAATTTCCCTGCATGGTAATGCAGATGGATGGCCTGCGAGCATGCCAGAGGATCAACATTTCCCTAATGCATGAAACACTCCAGAGAGCAAAGTATTTAACAAGTAAATACTGGACCTTTTTGGGCATCATTTTTGGATACATCTGACCTGGCTGCAATGAAGGGTAACCTGGAACTATGTCATTCCTAGGTGTAGCATGAATACCACAAGCTGGCCAAGTGATGCAGAGTGTCCAGCACATTTAGTAAGGATTAGGTGATTTTAGCTGTTGGTAAAGAGTGATGCGGGTGGCGCTGTGGTCTAAACCACTGAGCCTCTTGGGCTTGCCGATCAGAAGGTCAGCAGTTCAAATCCCCGTGATGCGGTGAGCTCCCGTTGCTCAGTCCCAGCTCCTGCCAACCTAGCAGTTCAAAAGCACACCAAACCCCCCAAAAAGTGCAAGTAGATAAATAGGTACTGCTCTGGTGGGAAGGTAAATAGCGTTTCTGTGCACTGCTCTGGTTTTGGTGTTCCATTGTGCCAGAAGTGGCTTAGTCATGCTGGTCACATGACCCGGAAAAACTGTCTGCGGACAATTGCCGGCTCCCTCAACCTCGAGCAAGATGAGCGCTGCAACCCCAGAGTCGTCTGCGACTGGACTTAACTTTACCTGGGCTCCTTTACCTTTACCTTTGTTACCAAGTCTACACGTGTCCTTAATCACGATGCTCCAAAAACAAGGTTGAACCATATCCTTAAT